AACGCTCCTGCCGTTCGCGCGGTAGATGCGGACGGTGAAGCGGCGCGTGTCCGCGCCCGTGCGGTCGAGAGGCGCACCAGGACGACGGGGTCCCCGGGGCGGTACTCCTCGTTGTCGTGCGTCCGCGTCGCGCGGTCGTCCGCGACGACGTAGCCCTTCCCGCCGCTCCCGCGCTGCTCCATGACGCGCGCGAGCAAAAAGGCGTGCGTGCTGCCGCCGCCCTCGCGCTGCGGGCGCCAGTAGTCGCCCGTCTCCAGCGCCACGAAGTCGCCGACGTTCAGCGACTCCGCGAGCGTCCACCGACGGCCCCCAACTAAGGGCTGCCCCGCGGCGGCAACGACGACGGGCTGCCCGTAGAACCGGCCACGTTCGCGGCGCACCTTCGGCTGTGCGCGAAGAAGTAGAGAGTGCGCGCCATGGTCCAAAACCCATGATCAGCAGACCATGCAAACGACGCTATCGACACCGATGTCGATTTCGAGCGGCTGTATCTGGGCTGAAATGCGCCAATTGCGCATTTCAGGCGAGGCGCTGATTGGCTACGCAATGGTTCCAGCGCTTCGCTCCGCTGGAGGCGGCCAGGACCGTCCCCCGCGGGCGCGCCCCCGCGCCACCCACGTCCCAGGGGGGCCTGGGACACGTCCGGCCAGGCGCCGGGGCCGAAGACGTCAACCCTGAATTAAACGGAGTTTCAGGGGGGAGTCGACCGCGACCCTCTAGAGCCTAAGGTTGTTTGTGCATACTTCCTGCGTCTACCTCATATTTAGGGGCAGCTTTGACGCGTGATGGACCCCCTGGATAAGATGCAAACAGGCAGCCTCTCGACGATGATGCAACGCTAGATGACGATGCGACCGTTGCTCGTCTTACTCGCCACCGTCGCGCGCGGCGCCGATGTGCAGATCCCGAAGACGGCAAGATTATGGATCGCTACCGAAGACGTCCCCAGATCCAAGTCGCTCTACGCCGAGGCGCACTGTCCCGGCTACGACGACGTCTTCGTCGTGCGCCTCGCCTGCGACGACGAGCGCGTCGAGGATGGCTACCACCGCTTCTTCATCGAGCGGGCGGAAGCCTGCGGCGGCCCACCGTTGGCGTCGATCGTTGGCCGCGTCGACCTGCTGCGGACGACGGCGACGACGCTACTCGGCGGCGCCCTCGACGGCATCCTCGACCGCGTCGACGCTCTGCTCCTCGACGACGTGGAGACCCACGCCTGTGACGACGCCGTCGCGGCCGCGGCCGCGCGCGGCCTCGGTTTACGTAACTCGTCCGCGTGCCGTCACGCGCGCCGCGCACGGCTCCTCTACGGCCCGCCGACGGCGGACCTCTTCGCGTCGCTGACAATGTTCCTCCCGCGCGACGCGGCCCGGCGGCGGCCGGCTCGGACGACCTCGTCGTCGCCGGGCTCCCGAACCAGCTGCCGCGGTGCCGCGAGGACGGCGAGCCCCTCCCCGCGGAGGCCCTCCGGCTGGACGGTCGGCAAGACCAGCACCACGCTCTCGTGCGTCCCGCGGAGACGGAGCGGCTGATGCGCGCGCCACCGGAATGCGCTTACCCGAACCGCGCGTGGGTCTGGCTTCGGCGTCCCGCGGCCGCGACGATGTTCGAGATGTTTTGACCGGGAAGACGATGAAGAATCGCCACCGACGCGCTTCGTAGGTCTGCTTCTCCGATGGCGCGGCCTTCTGCTTCGTCGGCGCCGAGCTCGTCGAGGCCGTCGTGGCGCCGCCGCGGTCCGCGGGCGCCGTCGTGCCCGTGGCCTGGTCCCTCTACGCGGACTCGGACCGCGACATCATCGTGATCTTCGACGTAGCGGTCGCGGCGGGGCCCGGCGTCGACGCGGCCGCGACGGCGGCCTGGCTCTGCGCCGAGTCGGCGCCCCGCGTCTACCTGCGGACGCCCTGCGTCGCGGGCGACGTCGCGCGGCGCCTCGACGCGGCGGAGCCGCGCCTCGTCGACGTCACGCTGCGCCGGCCGATCCGGATGTACGACAAGCACGACGGCTCCTGGGTGCGCACGGGCGTGGGCACCTACGCCCAGACGGCCGGCGCGGCGCCGCCAAAGATCGACGTCTGGTCCGGCGTCGCCATGGTCGCGGCGGATACGGACTTTGGGGGGTTGGGGTGCCGGCCGGCCGAGGCGGCGCGCCAGCGCGTCGCGGTGCTCTTCGTCGGCGAGGTGCGGTTGCGGGACGCTGACAGCTTCCGCGCGCTGCAGGACGCGACGGCGGGCTGCGACGGCTTCGTTGCGACGTACGCGCGGCATTTCCCGACGGCTCGCGAGCTGTTCGGCCGCCCGGACCGCGTCGTCGGCGTCGACGGCGCCGTCGCCGCCTGCGAGATCTGCGGGCAAAAAGGCGGCGGACGCTTGATCTCCTGGGTCCAGCTCCAGGCGGCGCTCGACGCCTTCGAGCCGGAGCTGCGACGCTACGACGTTTTGGTGAAGACGCGGACGGACCTCGATTTCCATCCTCCTTACGCGTCGCTCGTCCCCGCGGTCGGCCGCGTCCACGCCGAGATTTTTGTCGAGGTCGCCTACGCGGCGCCGCCCGTCTTCTATGCCGCCTTTGGGAACTGCGTCGACCGATTGATCAAGCCGTGGTTCGCGCGCGGCGACGGCTTCGGGTTCTCCCGACGCAACTCGACGCGGCCGGTCTACGTGCCCCTGAATTGGACGAACGCCCTCGAGAGCGACCTCACGGCGCTGCGCTGGCGCTGGCTCCACGTGCCCGAGCGCCTCGGCGGCGCCATCGCGACGCCGCGCGATTTAAAGCGCGTCATCTTCGACCATCTGCCCGAGCTCGAAGGCGCCAGAACGGGCGAGCCGGCGGTCCTCGCCGACGCGATGGAGGCCTGCGCCGTGAACGAGTTCGCGTCGGCATTGTGCGGACAGTTCGGCCTCTTTTCCTCCGAGACGTTCATGGCCTACGCCATTCTCCAAGCCGCGCCCGCGTGCCTCATCGCCGGGCGGCAGAACCTGTCGCCGGGCAATCTCTACAGCCTCGCGGAGGACCGCCACGCCTTCACCTGGGCCGCGGACGACGACGAAGCGTGCCCCTACGCCTTCGACGGCGGCGCGGCGCCGCCGGCCGCAGACGTCGTGCCCGGGTTCGCGAGCTGCGCCTACGCCGCAACCTTCGACGATGCCACGCGGGTGTCCGTGACCATCGACGCGACGGCCGACGCGGCGAATGTCGAACGCGCCGCCCAGGACCTCGCGCGCGCGATCCCGGCCGCCGTCGCGGCCGCCGCGGCCGCCGCGGGCTGCGGCGCCGCGTGCCGCGAGGCGCAGCTCGCGGCCAACATCGAGGGCGAGCGGCGGGCCTGCTTCGCCGCGGCGGCGAAGCGGGCCGCGGACGTTGCGAGCTCCGACATCGCGTCGATCGATCTGTATGCCTCTGAAGTAAAAAAATAAAGAAACCAAGCTAATCATGTGGCTGAGGAAGGTAGAGGGAAATACCCCAAACTAGGGTAACAAGGAACGTCGAGGTCAACGTTAAGGGTGCAGTGTCATCTCCATAGTGTGACGTCGCGAAAGGCGCACTACCAGCACCTCGTGCCAACGGGGCTGCCTCCCGGCGAAATGGGGTAGCAGACTTGTGGCCTGGGGTAGGTGATGGGGGGTGTATGTTTGGGGTAATTTGCGAGACGTCTGTCTCGAAGGTGCAACTCGTCGGTCGGCTCGGCGCGAGGTGTTCAGAAAGTTTCGCGCTATGCGCAGTCCCAGCGACCTTGCACGCGGGGACGCGCGCGCGGAGGTAGGCGCGAGCGACTAAATTTAATGCATCCATGCCGTCGCTCTCTAAAATCAGCGGAGCCAAATACATAGAGCGAGCCGCCAGAATGCTCAATAAGCCAAACATGACGCACCCGTTGGAAAGCTCAACGGCTTCACCAATCCTATGTTGCTCTGGACCTCCTGGCATCTTGTGGTCGGGTTCGGTCGCCGACGCGAGGACGAAGGGGCCGTCGTCGAACGGGGCTGCCCCATCGCTTCGGCGCCTCGGGCGGAACTCGAAAGCGCCGCCGGAGCGGCGGCATCGTGTGCGCCAGCGAGGGCTGCCTCACGACGACGCCGAGGCCTGGGGGCGCCGCCGGTCACGACGTGAGCTCGGAGTGCTGCGTCTCGCAGTCGAGATTGCGCGCGCGCGAGTTGGTGACGGCCGCGGCGCGCGGCGCGCACCGCGCACCAAACGATCATCGACGCTGCGATGGAACTGATATAGTGCAGCAGGAACAGGCGTTGGAGAGCATGTTCGCGCCTCGGTCATCCCAAACCCCCACGCGCGTAGCGAGAAAGGGGGCAGCTCCATAAGCTAGCGGAACCAAATACATACAGCGAGCCATTAACAACACGTAAAAGCAGGAGCTCAGCCCTGCAGCTAAGGATCCACTAACTAGAAGTTTAAGCAAAGAGAGTGAACTCGGGCTTTGGGGTCTGGGGTGGTAAAATTTAAACCAAACCGACTGGGGCGTACTCGGGGGGACCTCGGGTGACTTCCCCTGGGTCCCGGGCTAGTTCCTGGCACCTACTTTCTGGGCCAGTCGGTCGGTCGGTCGGTCGGTCGTCGTCGTCGTCGCCGCCGCCGCCGCCGCCGCCGCCGCCGCCGTCGTCGTCGTCGCGCGTGGCCCGGCCGCGGAACATGCCAAACGCAGCGTCAGATATCGTTCAACCATCGTTAGTGTCGGATCATGCATAGATTTGTTCTCCTCATGGTGAAGACGGGCGCAGGAGCGGCCACCACGGGAGCCGCAGGTGCGGCCCCCTGCGCTGGGGCTGCTGCCATATTAGCCAGCGACGCTACCAAGGGGATATAAATCTAGATACTATTTATTACCCTTGAGCGAGCCGCACACCAAATTGCAAGCAAAGCGGCCCTCATGTACGGTTGCCACTTGGCGCGCGTCTGAGCCGCGCATGGTGCGCCGCCTGCTGCTTGTCGGCGCCGCAGCCGCGGCCGCGCGCATCGTCTTCCCGGCGCCCTACGCCGTCAATGTCGGCGGCGACGCGCTCGTCGACGTCCTCGTCGAGGGCCCGGATCCGGCGCCCGCCGAGCTCTGGGTCGACGGCGTCCGCGCCTGCCCGGCGCCCGGCGCCTGCGACAGCGACGTCTGCCCGGTGGCGGGTGACGTCGTCTGCGAGGTCGCCGAGGTCGCCGACGTCCGCGGCCTCGACGACGGCGCTTTCGTCGGCGTCCGGACGCGGTTCCGGCTCTCGGGCCTCGACTTCGGCGCGCGGGGCCTGCAGGACGGCCGCGCCGGCGAGGCCGTCGTGCTGCGCGTGGCACCGCCGCGGCCGGCGCTGAATATAGGCCAGTGGCACCTGGACCCCGGCTCCTTCGGTGACTCGGCCGACTGGCGAAGGCTGGCCGCGAAGGCCGACAACCTCCGCTACTTCACCACGCTGCGCCTCAACGGCGCCCTGGGCTGCGCGTCGCTGGCTCCGGCGCTCGCGCAGATACTCGTCGACGCGGCCTTCTTCGACGCCGAGTCGCTCGGCCCCGACGGCGACTGGGTCACGGCCGCGGTCCTCGGCTCCCTGAGCTGCGCCGCGGCGACGCGCGTCGTCGTCTTCGGCGACGCCTGCCCCGCTGGCGTTTTGCGCTGGGCGAGCGTGCTACCGCGGGTCGACGGCCGCGGGCGATCGAGGGTCGCGGACGGCGACGCGGCCGGGGGCTGCGGCGGCTGGACATGGGGCCCGCGGCGGCCGGCGACCTTGACTGTCGTCGCGCCGAGGAGGGCCCTGGAGGACGTCATTGCCGAGGACGGCGGCCCGCTCGCGCGAATCCTAGGCATGCCCGCGGCTCGCGGTGGCGCAGCGCCCGCGCGGCCCTCGTCGGCGACGTTGCTGTGGCCCGCGGGCGTCGACGGGCCAACCGTCGGATTGGCCGTGGGCTCCGCGTGTTGCGCCGCGGCCGCGCGGCTCTTCGGCCCCGATGAGCCGCTGCTCCTGGGCTTATTGCCGGACTTCACGTTCCTGGGCGCGCTGAGCTCATACCCGGAGTCGCTCCACTTCCAGATGGACCTCGAGAGGCCCGCGTCGGCGCGCGCGGTTCGCGTCGTCAGCGACGCGGACGCGCGGGCTTTTTGCCACACGCTCGCCGGCAACGACACGCTCGCCTTCGTGGGCCCCGTCACGGCGCCCGTCGTCCTCCACGCGCTCCACGTCGCCGCAGGTTACGCGGACCCCGTCCACGCGGGCCAGACGCCCCGGGCGCCGGCGGCCGCGTTGTCGCGGGTCCAAAAGGCGCTGACCTTTCGCGTGCCCGCGGCGCTGGCGTTCGAGGCGCTCGGCGCCGCGGGGTTCGAAGGGCTCGGCGGCCGCTCCCGCGACGCCGCTTTCGCGAAGGTCTCCGACTCGGACGAGGCCGCGCGCGAGTGTCACTTCTCGGCGCTCGTGCGCGGCGGCGCGGCGCCCGCGGCCCTCGGCGCCGTCTGGCGCGTCGGCGGCGAGCTCTGGGCGCACGGCGCGGCGCCCACGGATGCGCCGTCGAACTCGTGGTCCGCGTGCTTCGTCGAGGAGCTCGACGGGACCCGCCAGTTCCACGACTACCTCGACGACGAGGGGGCCCGGGGGGCGCTCGTCGGCTTGAAGGGCCTGCTCGAGGCGGCGCTGGCCCTCGCGCGCGCGAGGGTCGTCCACCGCGACCTCGGCTCCTGGAATGTGCTCGTCGATTCTCAGGACAGAGTGCGCGTCGTTGACTTTGGGTGGGCCGCGGCGCTCGACGACGACGGCGTCGCGTCCGCGGCGTCGCCCTTCGGCGACGCGATCCACCGCCACACGGGCCTGCGGCTGAACTTTAGGCCGGGCCTAGGGCCCCCGCTCAGCGACGGCGCCGCGGTCGCGGACCTCGCGCGGCTCGCGCGGGCCGCGCTCGACGGAGCGCCGGGCTTCGAGCGCGAGGCGGCGGCGGCGGGCGCCGCCGCCGACGCCCTCGACGCGCACGGCGCGCTCCACCCGGGCCTCGTGGGCTTCGAGGCGGGGCTGGCCGACGCGCTCGCGACGCTCGCGGCGCCGCCGGCGCCGGCGAAGGCGCCGAGGACCTACGCGGCGTGCGCGCCGCCGTCGGCGCGCGGCGCGGGCGACGGCTTCCACGTCCTCGTCTTCTGGGCCGTGTCGCGGCCCGCGTGGGCCGGGCTGCTACTAGCCGCCGAGGCAACCGCGAAACTTGTCGCCGTCGTCCAGCTCGCGCCGGCGCCGACGTGTCAGCGCATCCAGCGGCTCTACGGCCACCAGCCCCTGGCGTCGCCGATCCTTGAAGGCAAGTGCGGCTTCGTGGACGGCAAGGGCGAGGCCTTGGTGGTTGTCGCGGACTTTGGTTCGCCGAGCCCGCTCAGCGCGGATGACGCACCGGGCCCCGCGGCGACGCAGGCGGCCGCGGACGGCCGCGCAATCTCGCTGAAGCGGCGCCTCCGCGCGCGGCATCTCGAGCTTGACGTCCCCGTGCCCGACTTCGTCCACGGCACCGTGGACCGCTGCGAGGCCGCGCGCGACGCCTTCTTTTTTACGGGACGGCGCCTCGCGGACCTCGCGGCGCTCGCGGCGTCGGACCCGCCGGTCGTCAACGGCCGCGTCGTCGTGCGCCGGCGTGCGGGCGTCGCGGGCGACGACAAGACGGCCGGCGGCTGGGACAGCTTCCGGGACCTGCTGTTCTACCTGAACGCGACCGTCGCCTACGTTGTCTACCGCAACGGCGCCGCGTGCGTCGCCGGCCGCTGCGGGGACGCGGACCTGTTGGTGGACGACCTGCACGCCGCGGTCGTGGCCGTCGCGGCCGGCGTCGGCGAGGAACCCTCCTCCTGGCCCGGCGCGGGCGCGACACGCTTCGAATGGAGCGAGCACCACTACGGCACGGTCATCGCCGGACGACGGGGCTGGGTCGAGATCCGCCAGTGGGATGCCGACGAGGGCTTCGGCGACAGCGCGCCGAAGCGGTGGCGCGGCGACATCCTGAAGCGGCGCGTCTGCGACGGAGATCACTGCGAGCCGGGACCGCTCGACGCCTTCCACACGACTTTGGACCGCGCGCTGGTGCCGAGGGCCGCGCGGCCGGATACGCCGAAGCTCGACGCGCGCTACGTCCCCGTGCTGCGGGCCGCGGCGCCGCGCCTCGGCGCCGCGGCGGTCGCCCTCGCGGCGGACCTGCGCGTCGGCGCCCTCGCGGCGTACCACGCGGCCTTCCTCGCGGCCCACGGCTACCTCGAGCCGGGAGCCGACGCGGCGCTCGCGGCGCTCGCGAATCGCACCGACGCTATGCCCATCTTCCACAAGCCCGGCGCACTCGCGGCGCCCTTCGACTCGTCGCTTCACCCGGAACTGATATCCGTTCCACCGACATTCAACTTGCCAGGCTTCTAAAATTAAAGAATACTACCTAGGTATATTTACTAGCCTACTGAGTAAACTCAAGTTCAAGGCCTAACCTGGCGGAGGGCGACCTCTCGAAAGGCCGGTGTCGTCACCGATTCTCGACGCGGAGTTTTCGAAATCGATGCGGTGCGAGCCTGAGGGACGAAAGTCCACTGTCCGAGCCGCGCAAGTCCACTGTCCGAGCCGCTAACATATCCAGCCGGCGGGATATGTTAAAGGCCGCTTCAACCTGGGCTTCAACCTCAAACCTTGCACTTCAACAGGGACCTCAACACCGCCACTTGCCCTTCAAAAGGGACCTCAACACCGCCGCTCACGCCTCGCCGGGGACCTCTGACGCGCCGCCCACGCCTTGCAGTTTGCCCTTAAAAGAAACTTGAAGGGCAATTTACCAAGGCGAGGCAGTGGGGTGAATCAAAATCGCAAAATCGTAAGGGGTTTGGGGTATTTCGGGTCCGCGGAAGGGTTCTGGAGGGCTTCTGGAGGGCTTCTGGCACGTGGCATGGGGCGGGTCGCGCGCCCTAAGGCGTGGGCGGCGCGTCAGAGGTCCCCGGCGAGGCGTGAGCGGCGGTGTTGAGGTCCCTTTTGAAGGGCAAGCGGCGGTGTTGAGGTCCCTGTTGAAGTGCAAGGTTTGAGATTGAAGCCCAGGTTGAAGCGGCCTTTAACACATCCCGCCGGCGGGATGTGTTACCGCTAGCACAAATCAACACCAGCCGCGCCGCGGCCCACAAAAACGTGCCCTACGCCGGCGGAGCGGGCGCCTCCCCGGGCGGGGCGACGTGGCTTCCGAGGGGCGAGACGAGGTAGGGTTCGCCGCCGCCCGGCAGCCCGCGCGCCAGTGCACGGCGCGGAGGCGGGAGTCCACGACGTCGATGCCCGAGGCCCAGAGGCAGGCCTCGCGCGTCACGTCTGTGCGCACGACCTCCTCGCCCTCCGGGTCGAGCTCGTAGACGCAGGGCTGGCGACCCGCGCGCAGGTGCACGGCCGCCGGGTCCTCGGCCTCCCGGGGGCCCGCGAGGGCCTCCACGGAGACGCTCCTGAGGCGCGCGGGCGCGCCCGCGGGCGTCAGGTACGCGTAGGCAAAGCCGGTGCCACCAGCGCGGTCGTGCTTCTCCGCGCCGAGCCAGTCGACTGGCGCGGCCTCGGGCTCGGCAAAGAAGCTCGCGTCGAAGCCGGCAATCCTGGCCGCCTCGGCGAACGCGCGGAACGACAGCGGCGCCACCCACTCGAAGCGCGCCGTCGGCGAGTGATACCTGGTGCGGGGGTCGCGCGGCCGCCCTTGGTTACTTCACACGACACGGCCCGCGCGCCGGAAATTGTACGCGAAGACGGCGTGCGCGCCGCGGTGCATCCTGCAAAGCCGCAGCACCGTCTGCTTGTCCAGCACGTACTCGAAGGAACCCAGGAACGCGAAGGCGGCGACGCCGTCGCGGGCCTCGCCCGGCGCGAGCAGGAAGGGGAATTCGAGGCGGTTCACGTCGCACAGCACGGCGCCGATGCCGTAGCCCGTGACGTCCGCCGCAACGTACGCCGTCGCCGGGGGGAGGAAGCGCCGCAGGCCACCGCGGCCGGCGCCGACGTCCACGACCGTCCCGTTGGCATCGTGCGCGCCGTGCCGCAGCAGCAGCGCCGCGGCCGCGTGCTGCCGCTCGGCGCCGTCAACGAAGTGGTCGGCCTCGGACCAGAAGACCGTTGCCTGGCCCTCGGCGGGTTCGGCGCCGCGCCCCACGCAGTCCGTGAAAGCCGGACCCGGCACTGCGACGTCCCGCGCGGCCGCGAGCGCGAGCGCGAGGCAGCGGGCGGCGGCGCGCATCGCACCAGCAGCAGCTCTGGCTGTATACGTGGAATAGAAAGAAAGATCTATTTGTAGCTAACAGTCTAAGAGAGGGAAATTGGGAAAAGGAGGAAGGACCCCCATACTAAAGTGGGGACCTGCTACTATGCGACGGCGACGGCGGCGGACGGGTCGCTCGTGTCCGCGGCGCTCTTCCTCCGCCACGGCGCCGTGCTCCACTACCACCTCTCGGGGTCGCGCGCGGCGGGCTACGCGCTCGCCGGGCCCAGCGCCATCCTCGACGCCGCCGCGCGACTCGGCGCGGCCCTCGGCTGCGCGACGCTCCACCTGGGCGGGGGCCTCCGGCCCGGCGACGCGCTCGCGACGTTCAAGCGCGCCGTCGGCGACGTCGTCCTCGACTGGACGCTCGGCACCTCCGTGCTGGATCCGGGCGCGTTCGACGCGCTCATGGCGATCCGCGCGGGCGCGGTGCACACGGACGTTGAGGGGGGGAATTGGCCAAATTGGCCGGATTGGCCGCGTTGGCCGAATCCCATTGGCCACGTCCAACGGCGATTGGCCGTGCGTCCGATGGGCTTCGTCCGATCGTCCGATCTGGCCGATCGTCCGATCGTCCGATCGCGCCGATCTGGCCGACGCGTAAAAACCGACGGTGCGCGGCGTCGCGGGCTTAGTACGAGGACTACCAGCCGGAGAGGCCGTCTCGAGCGCCGGGGTACGGGGGGTAAAATTAAAAAAAAAAAATATTGGGGCTTAGGGGAGGTGCCGGGCGAGTCCCTTCGGGTCCCCGGCGAAGCCCTTGCAACCTACTTTTGGGGGTCGGTCGGTCGGTCGGTCGGCCGCCGCCGCCGCCGCCGCCGCCGCCGCCGCCGCCGCCGCCGCCGCCGCCGCCGTCGTCGTCGTCGCGCGCGTGGGAGAAATTCGAACCCAAGTCAGCCGTAGGGCGACCGCACAGAGATGATGTGTTGTTCCCATGTCCTGTGAAGGCGTATAAATCCGGAGCTGCAAAAATCGGGTGGGGACGCGCGCCGCAGTCGCAGTGATCGATGTCTGCAGAACGGCGGCAGTCCGCGGATCGGAAGTTCTGGTTCATCGGCGTCGAGGTCTTGGGCGGGTGGGAGGGCGGCGTTGGCCACTCCCATGGAATCGACGCGCTCCGGGCCGTCGCCGCTCGCGAGCGGGCTGCCCCAGACGCTGCCCACAACGTCGCGAGATCGTAGCCAATGGATGTCTTTTACGTCCAATGGCCGGGGGTCGCGTCCAATGGCCGCGGGTTCGTCCAATGGCCTCGTCCTTGTCCGATCGCGGTTGGCTCTTCGTCCGATCGTCCGATCGCGGTTGGCTGCCGTCCGACGGCGTACGTCCGACGCGGCCAATCCGGCCAATTTGGCCAATTCCCCCCCTCAACACGGACGTGGTCGATGGATCCGGGCCATTTCGACGCGTCGAGGGGCGATATGTCGGTCCTGGTGCAACAAAAAGGGAGCGGCGCTAGGGCGATCGCACAGGGACCTTGTTACGATGGGATCGCACCAGCGCCGCTCCCTTTTTATGTCCATCATCGCGCGCGCGCGCGTGGCAGCCCCGGCGGTGCGCGTCCGAGTCGAGCGCTCCGAGTGGTCGTGGCGGTCAGCGCCGGGCCCAGCGGACGATCTACGCGGCTGAGGCACTCGAGGGGTGTCTGAGAGGGTCTCGAAGCGGTCGCGGGTGTCCCCAATGCGCGTTTCCCGGTTGTTCTTCCGCGGCGGTGCACAGGGCCGCGGTGATGAGCAGGGTTCTTTTCATCTTACTTGGTCGGGGCTGCCGGCTATGCTACCGACTGCCTACTTGACGGCCCTGACACAATCCAATTCCCCGGGGCTGTGTCTCTTTGGGCGGGTGGGGTGGTGCATGCGGTCGAGGGGTGGTCCACCGCCGGCCTCCTACGTATTACAGTCACCATCATCCCCCATAATTTACATTGCCTTGCTCCGTTACTATCGCGACGTCACACTAGGGAGATGACACGGCACTCCCCCGTAACGTTGCCAATAACGTTCCTCATTACCCTAGTTTGGGGTATCTCTCTCTAGTTTCCTACACGCGCTGCTCCGTCGCGGGCCCGGGCTTGCGCGCGTAGACGATGAGCCACTGGTCCGGGTAGGAGACGACGTAGCCGAGGTGCCAGCCGCCGACCTCGTACTCGACGTCGACGAAGCCGATGTCCTCGAGGTCCTCGACGACGCGGTCGAGGTCCGTGACGCGGACGTCGTGGTCGCTGTTCGTGCCGTTCGCGTCGAAGACGTTCGCGTCGTAGGGCGCATGTCTGGCCGGGTCCAGCGGCGCCTCGTGCGGGGCGCGGTACACCATCTGGAGCGACACGAGGCCGCCGGGCCGCAGCGCCGCGAGGATGTCCTCGAGGATGCCCCGGCGCACGACGTAGACGCAGATGTGCTGCAGCGCGATCGTCGACATGACGAAGTCGTACTCGTCGACGGGCGCGGGGGCCCGGCCGTCGGCGGCCGCGAGCCCCGCGCCGGCCGACTGCCACGCATGGAACTTGGACCGGTCCCAGCCGTCGCGGCCGACGAAGGCGAGCGCGCCCTCGACGTGCCGCGCCACCAAATCGCAGCCGTCGACGCGGTCCCAGGCCGCGAGGCGCAGCAGGTTCGCCACGTTGCGGCGGCCCCCGCAGGCGACGTCGAGGGCGCGCTTCCCCCGCCAGACGCGCGGGTCCCGCACGACGGGCTTCAGGATCATGCCCCAGTACTCCGCGGCGTCGTTGTGGATGACGTGGTTCCCGGATACGAGCTCCTGCGCCGCGGGGTCGTAGAATTTGCGCTGCATGGCGACGTAGCGCCGGCAATTTTCCACGTTGGGCGCGCGGCAGCCGGGCATGGGCCGGTCCTCGCCCGCGGCGGCGCGGTCGACGGGCCAGGGCGGGAGCGCCGCGTCGGCGGTCGTCGGCGGCCGCGCGGCGGCGGCGGCCGCGGCGGCGGCCGCGACGTCGCGCGCGCCGTCGACGTCCCAGGCGCGGAGCGCCGTCGACACGTCGCCTTCCGTCGGCGGGGAGCCGCGGGCGTCGCGCGGCACGAGAATCTCGCCCACGGCCGCGATCTTCACGATCAACCCGCGCGCGTCGTCGGCGATGGTCACGCGTCTGCGCCTCAGTTCCGCGAGGAGGCCCGCCGCCGCGCAGTCCGCCGACGCGCAGCCGTCGAAGCCGAGCGACGGCCAGTCGACGTTGAGTTCCCTGAAGTCCGCGAGCAGCGACGGCAGCGCGCGATGGTCGTCGAAGACGACGGCTTCGTCGACGTCGTACTCCGTCTCGGCGATGCGGACGATCATCGGCGCGCCCGGGGGCAGCGCGAGCGCGAGCGCCGCGACGGCGCCGAGCGCGCGCATATCAGGAGCAGAATCTGATGTTGGCTTTTCGATCAATACTACTTTTTGTTAAATAGGAAATAAATAGGAAATAAATCTGGAATCAGTTTATGCTGGAAACAACATGCCTATAAGTAAGATGTAGCGAGATAGTAAGCTCCGACACGGGGAGGCAGCCTAGTTGGACTGCCCTGCCGTGTGAGGGTGAACTATCGAGGTTACGCAGTGGCGGTACAGGCTCCGGCTCTGCGGAGGCTCCCCCAGTAGCGTGGCTTCCGTAGAAACCACCCGTAGTGACGCGTTCTAAGACGAGTCCGACGCGTTGGATGGGAATCCGATGTCCAATCCGACCACTCGATGATCGCGTTCCGCGCGGCGGCCGCGCGTCGCTCCGCGGCCGCATTCGCGCGCGAATAAAACCCCGAAAACGGTACCTCCGGGGACGACCGGACAACCGAGCGACGACGCTCGCCGGCGTCTGTCGGTGGGGTGTCGGTGGCCATTTAAGTGGGAATGACCCCGCGTCGATAGCCGGACCTGACTCTACCTGACTCTCCGAAAGTCAACTTCTCGTCAGACGCTCCGCGCCGACCAGACCATCAACGGCATCAACTTCAAGAAGGGCCGCCTCCTCGTCTACTGCCACGACCTCGCCCGCGTCCACGACGACCCGGCCCGCCGCACGTTTGAGCTCGAGCCGACGCTCCGCGCCGTCGAAGCTCGGATGGTCCGGAAGACGGGCGTCGAGCTCGACGACGCGGGAGACGCGCCGGCGCCCGCCGACAAGCCCAGGACGGGCCTGTCGGCGGCCTTTGCCGCCGTCGACGGACGCCTCGTCGTGCTGTCCGAGGCCGAGAACGCCAAGACCGTCGCCGCGTGCGACGGGTGACTCCGCGCTCGCCGTCGTCTCCCGCCGCGCGCGTCCCGCGCCACAGAGCACCTCGCAACGATCTTTTAGCAGAAACTCATAAAAGAGGCTAGATCGACGAGGAATCGGGGTGTTTCGACGGGACAACGGTCCTTTAAGCGCGGCTATGGTTTACCCCAAAATCGGGGTCTGCTGGGGGTGCCTCCGCGTGGCGGGAGCCTCGAGAGACGCTCGCGCAGAACTTCGACGTCACGGAGTTCATGGACGTGAAGACGATCCGCGGCGAGATCGACAAGGTGCTCACGGAGCGCATGACGACGCTCACGCCCCTCCGCGTGAAGCACATGATGAGCGTCGTCATCCGGGAGCACCTCGGCTGGCTCGTCGTCTGGGGCAACGTCTTCGGCGGCCTCATCGGCGTCGCGTCCTGGCTCGCCAAGTACTGAGGCCTCCTAAGGGCGCGTTTATTTTTTTGAGGGGCCGGGCCCGGGGGCCGCGGCGCTCTATCGGTTGCCTCGAGACCCCCGGCGAGCCACTCGTTCCTTGTGGACGCGGCTAGACGGCACGGCCGGCTCGAGCCTCAATCCACTCGACCCCGCCGCCCCAGGTCACCGCCGCGCGCGCGAGGAGGTGGCGCGCGGAGCAGCCGGCGACGCCCTCCATGAGCGGCGCCGCGCGGAAGTAGAAAGGCGACGCGAGGACGTCCGGCGCGAAGGACCGCGCGCAGAGCTCGGCGGCGTAGGCGGCGCCGGGGCCGCCGCCCGGGCGCCGGCACGCGGCGCGCGGGCCGCACTGCGCGTCGAGGAACGGCACGCGCGGCGGCCGTTTGTCGTCGTGCGACGACCAGGGCCCGAAGGCCGCGGAGCCCGGCCCCTGGCCGTCGACGCCCAGGGTCGCGTAGCGCAGCGCCGCCGCGTAGGCGTCGCCGAGGCGCGCGAGCGCGTGCGCGGCGCCCGCGCCGTCGCGCGCGGCGACGGCCGCGTAGAGCGCGTGCGCCGCGCTGCCGTCGTCCCAGGCGGGCGTCGCCGGCGCGGCGTCGACGAGCAGGCGGCCGGCGGCGTCCCGGGGCGCGGCGTCCCGGGCCCAGGCCTCGAGGTAGGCGTCGTAGGCGCGGCACGTCCACGCGAGGAAGTCGAGCGCGCACTCGGCGAACGCGTCGGAGAAGGGCTCCGCGGCGCGCGCGAGGTCCCGCGCGAGGTCCAGGCCCTTGTAGAGGTGGCGCTCCGCGCGGTCCTGCGCCGGTAGGGACCGCGCCATGGCGACCTGGAACACGGGCGCGCAGACGGGCACCGCGGCGACGCCGTTGACAAAGGTCGCGTTCGCCGCGTTGGGCACGTCGCAGGGCCAGCCCTCGCCGACGCTCGCCCGCGGGCAGACGCCGGCGAGGTTGTAGCAGTGGACGACGTCGCGCGTCCGCGCGAGCGCCGCGGGCAGCGGCGCGGTCCAGCGGAGGTCCGGCCGGTGCTTGGCGACCCAGGCGTACTGTCGGCCCGCGGCGGCCTCGGCCGCGAGCACGTGGCCGAAGCAGAGCTGGAGCTTCTGGAGCTGGCCGCCGGTGTCGTCGACGACGAACTGGGCGATCTGCGGGAAGCGGTCGAAGGCGCCGCGCCACGCGGCGTCCGGCGCGGCCGACGCCTGCGCGCCGCCGAAGACGAAGAAGAAGTCCGCGGCGCCGAGGGGCGCGACGGCGTCGGCGATGGACGCGGCGACGCGGGGGAAGGTCCTAGCGAGGCCCACGACGCAGTGCGCGCCCGCGGCTGCTTCTGTTGTTTGGAGGAGCGGCGGCGCGAGCTCCGCGCACGCCGTAGCGCGCCCGAGCTCCCGGCACCGCGGCTCGCGGCGGCTCCGGCGCCGGTACTCGTCGGCGGCGCAGCGCGCGCCGAGCATGTCCGCGAGCCGCTCGGCGACGCAGCCGACCGTGTCGCAGCCGGCGCCCGTCGCGAGGCCCAGGTCCTCGGCGAAGTCGCGGGCGCCGGCGACGAGCTCGGGGCGCTCCGGCGGCGGCACGGACGTCTCGAGGCGCCGCGCGGCGCCGTCGACGACGACCTCGATGTGGCAGCGGCCGCCGTCGTCGCCGCGCGTCGGGATGAGCAGCAGCAGGGCTGCCGCGACGAGGCGCCGCGCCATCACGGAGCGCGAGGCGATGCCGAAGCGCGCCACGTCCCGTGCGATGTAGGCGAAGTACAATTGTAGGCAGAAGGCCGCCGTGCGCGTGCTGCGTATTGACGCCCGGGAGGTCAAGGGCGACGGCACGCCGCGCGCCGCGTCGCTCTTCTGCGTCGACCGCTTCTCGTCGGCTTTTATCTCCACGATCCCCGTCGAACGGCGCGTCTTCTCCGCGCCCGAGTGGGGCGAGGCGTGCGCCTGCTACTTCGGCACGCCGAGCCCCCTCTGCGAGTCGCTCATCGGCCGCACGCTGCCCGGCGGCGCGAAGCTCGACGCGTACGGCGCGAAGCTCAGCACCGAGCAGTCGATCCTCAACCTCGAGTCGCGGCGCACGAGCTACCACAACGCGGTGCTCGCCCAGATTTACGACTCGGTGCGGCAGGCCGGGCTCCTGGCCCAGCGCGAGCCGCGTGGCTTGCTCTTCTCCACGGGCCTCACGGCCGCAGGCCGCGCGCGGCTGGCTTCGGAGCGCGAGGCGGCCGTCATGCTCGGCGACGCGCGCGACGCCACGGCCGGCGACGGCGCGGGCGTCATCCGCGCGGCGCTCGTGCCCTTCTCCAACGTCCAGCGGCGCGTCAAGAACGTGACGCCGGACCTCGCCGTCGAGCTCATCGACAAGGTCCGTCGCATTTTCGACGTGAAAACGGTTGCCTGGTCCGCCGCCGACTCGAACTTCTACTCCACCGCGGCGTCCGCACGGAGAGGCGCGTCGCCCGTGGACAAGCGGGCGTCCTTCGTCGACAGCGAATACAAGGCGCACGCGAAGCAGATCGACGTTGAGATCAACGGCGTCTCCGACGGCCCGATGCTCCGCGCGTTGAGCTCCCTCGGCGGCTGCGTCGGCCTCGTCTTCGGCCAGTTTTCCGAGGCCTCCAAGGACGTCTCGTCCCTGCTCGCGGACGTCGCGACCGCGCTCTCCGAGTCGCGCTGGATCTCCATGGGCTGCGCGTGCCCCGACCAGGCGAAAGCCCTGCTCAGCAACGAGCTCCACCGCGAGTGGGGCACCACCGCCGCGAAGTACCGCGCGCGCTACCTGATCTCCGGCCTCAAGTTCGCCGACGGCACCTGGAAGTCCAAGGCCCGCGCCCTAGGATAAGCAGTGACGCCTTCCTACGCCTCCCTTCGCTGCTCTCTCTCCCTTCGATTCCTCCCTGCGACGCGGCTAAGGATAAGCAGATACGCGTCGCCGATCCTACCTACCCACTCACACCGAAGCGCGAAAATATAATTGCTGGCGCCTTGGCTTCAACGAGTTTTTGTGGCTATTTTTCTTGCTTTTTCATCGCTTCCCACGCAGATAATCCGATGATCCTATTGATAGGGGTTCCAATATCTGTCGCCTTGACAGTACTCGCAACAAAATGGACTATTCTATGGCGCCATATGCCCCATCCCTTTGGCCCGAAAAGACCACCCTTAAAATTAAAAAAACGAGAGAAGATTATCTGAGCCTGCGCAAGGGTCTCGCCCGACGGTAGCCCTAGGTGGGTCGCGCGCAGCCGCAGCAGCGTGGCGTGCAGGCGGCGGTCGAGCACCGACTTGCCCATGCCACGAACTCGCCGCCAAAGCGCCAAAGCGCCAGCTCCCACGTCGTTCCCTCACCCTGCGTGCACAGGTCCGCCTCGCCGTACTCAGGCGTCACGTACACGTCGGGCCACGGTAAACCAAGCTTTCGTGCCCCTTTCGAATCGTCGGCGCCTCTTTTTTTTTTTTTTTTTGTGTGAAAAAGTGAAAGTGCGCATCCGGACATCCGCGACCGAGAACATGGGCGCGTACCGCAGCTCGGAGAAGGCTGCATCTGAATGACGCGCCGCGTCGCGCGCGCTGCGCTGGCCTACGCCGCGGTCGGCGCTCGGGCGCGGGTCTGCGAGGTCACGATCCAGGTCGACGGCGCGGGCGTAGGCCTCGCCTTCGCGAACGATGTGGAGCTCGACGCGGCCGTGCGCGGGTTCGTGGCCCGCTTCGCGCTGCCCCTCGACCAGATGGGCTGCGCCGACGACGGTTGCGCCGTCGAGTACATCCAAGGCGCACGCCCGCCTGAACGCCGCCTGCGACGCCGCGCCCTACGGCGACGCCGCGGCGTCCGACGTGGACGCCGCGTCTCCGGACTACGCTGCGCCTCTGGACGACGAAGACACCGCGCGGTCCGAGCCCGGCGCATCGCCTCTGGACGACGACGATGCCGCGCGGTACGAGCTCGACGCCGCGGCGGACGCCGGCGAGCGCGAGGCCGCGGGCGAGGCCGCGCCGGCAGGATCGGCGGCGCTCCTCCCGTCGACGCTCGAGGACTACGTGACCCTGTGGATGGTCGCGTGGTCCGCGTGCTTCGCCGTCGCCGCGGTGGTCGCGGCGCTCGATCGCGCGCTCGACCTCCGCGTCGAAGACCGGTGCCCGCGCTTCCGGCGGGCCTTCTCGCTGCCGCGCGGCGCGCGGCGCTGGCTCCTCGCGACGGGCGGTTTCGCGGCGTTGCTGGACACGCGCGGGAACCTGCTGCCGAACCTGCACGACGCGCTCCATGGCCCCGGGGGCCTCTGCCGCGTCGGCGCCGTGGGCCACGTGTCGCTCCACGACGTCAAGGTCGAGGGCGCGTCCTACGTCCTCTACGCGCTCCAGGCGGCGCTCGGCGCGGCGCAGCTCGTCTCGGCGTCGAGGGACGCGCCGGCGAGCCCGCTCCGGGAAACCCTGCTCTGGGCATTGCTGCATTCGTCGGAGCGCGCGTGCTTCGAGTCGCACGGCCTGGGAAAGCAGTGGGCGTACGCGGCGCTCGTCCAGCTCTGGGTCGCCCTCACGCCCGACGACCCGGGGCCGAGCGCGGGCGCCGTCGGCGTCCTCTTCCAGATCTGGGCCACGCACGCCTTCGCGGGCGCCGAGAAGGCCGGCCTCGGGCGCGACGCGTGGGTGCGGACGGGCGGCGCGCTGCGCGCGGCGCTATCGATGCCCGTCTACGCGGCGCCGCTCGGCGCCCGCGCCGCGCGCGCGATGCCCCCGAGGCTTGGGGGGGTTTTGACGCGCGGCGCCGTCCTGTTCGAGCTCGGTCTGGGACCGCTGCTCCTGGCGCGGCGCCGCGCGGTCGGGGCGGCGCTGGTTCTCTTCCACGGCGTCAACCTGTGGACACTCGCGATCTTCGAGTTCCCCCTCGTCGCTCTGGGCGCGAGCGCGCCGCTCCTGCTCGCGCCGCCGCCGCCGCCGCGAGCAGAAAGTGGGCGCCGCGGCGGCCGCGTTCAGGCCTCGCTGGCCGCGCTCCTGGTCTACGCGAACGCGCGCGTCCTCTGCGCGTCGTGCGACGCGACGCTGAAGTCGAGGTACGCGGGCGCCCTGGCGCTCCCGGCGTCCGCGCGGCGCCTCCTCGGGGGGCTGGCCATCGACCAGAAGTGGCCCCTGTTCGCCCAGGTCTGAGGGACCTGCGCGTACCGGCTCCACGCAACGCTGGCGTCGGGCGACCACGCGAGCGCCCACGACTGGTTCGCGGGCGGCGATGTCGCGACGTCCGCGGCCGGCGAGTCGCTCCTCGAATTCGCGAACCGCGACTTTGGCGCCAGGCCCCACTCGGTCTGGGGCGGCCTCTGGGGCTGGAGCGCGATGGGGAGCGCCCATCTGCACAGCATGCAAAACCGGCCGCGCGCGGACACGCGCGTCCAGCGCCGAGTCTGCGACTCGCTCCTGGCCGCGCCGCCGCGCGACGCGGCGGTTGCCGCGGCCACCGCCGACGGCTATGACGCCGAGGTCCGGCCCGACGGCGAGATCCGCGCGACGTTCCACTTCACATGGCGCGGGGCCCAGCGGTCGTTCGCCGTCGCCGTGCCCGGCGGGGGCGCGCTCTGGTCCGCGCGCGACGCGTCGCGGGACGTCGGCGCCGCCTGCGACGACGCGGGCGTGCCCGCGGCCGCCTGCGACGCGACGCTCAAGCCCCACGTGCTCGCCGCGCTTCGTGACCTCGCGCGCCCGGCGTCCGTGTCGCGCGTCGACCTCTGCAATCGGTTCGCGCGCCCCGGCTCGCGCCCTGAATCCGAATCCGAATCCGAACCCAAATCCAGAACCCGCCCCTTTCGCGAACCCTCACCCGCAGCCGAGTCCGGAATCCGAACCCCTTCGTGCTCTCTCGTTTGTTCTCTCTCCGACTCCGGCTGCTCCTTAAGTTCCATCACTATCAACCGCCCGGACGAGAGAGGGCGGCTGCCACGCGCGCGCGCGCGATGATGGACATAAAAAGGGAGCGGCGCTGGTGCGATCCCATCGTAACAAGGTCCCTGTGCGATCGCCCTAGCGCCGCTCCCTTTTTGTTGCACCAGGACCGACATATCGCCCCTCGACGCGTCGAAATGGCCCGGATCCAGAGGCCCCGTTCGCCCCGAAATCGTGATCGTTTCTCGAGATCGAGAGCGGCGCGTCGAAGATCGCCCACCGGCGCGGCGCGGGCTCGAAGGCCGCCGGGGCGCCCGGCGGACCGAGCCGCCGAACGCGGCCGTCAAAGTCGGGCGCTGCCCATCGGATCGGCTTCCCAGTGCACTGGAGCCCCTGGGGAACTTTAGACCTGTGAGGTGGCAATACAGGCTTCAAGATACTTCAACATGCTTACGTCGTAACTTACGGCTTCTAAGTTCACCTTTGATCCGGTAAAGTTAATCTATAAGGAAATATCATATCTTTATTTTGTGTAATATGATGCCAGTCGTCAAGGAAGGCCAAAGTGGATTGTGCCGTCAAGTAGGCGCGTCGATAGCATGGCCGGCAGCCCCGACCAAGTAAGATGAAAAGAACTCTGCTCATCACCACGGCCTTGTGCGCCGCCGCGGAAGAACAACCGGACGTCGCGCTCGTCCTCCGCGGCATCTCGTCGCCGCGGCGCTACGACAGCATCGGCGGCATCTATTACTCCGGCGGCTGGCGCGCGACGCACTGCGACCTGCGGCGGCGCTATATTGAACCATTCGGCGCCGACGTCTTCCTGCACACGTGGGCCGGCGCCGAGGCCGCGGCCGTCGTGCGCGCCTACGCGCCCGTCGCCGCCGTCGTCGAGCCGCAGCGCAACTTCAGCGGCTATTACAAAAACCTCGTCGCCGTCGACCCCTGCGACGCGACGCTGGTGTCGTCGGGCCAGCGCTGCCCCGTGACGCTCCAGAACAAGTTCTCCATGTTCTGGTCCCTCCGCGAGGCCGCCCGCGTCATGGCGGAGCACGAAGACGCGCGGGGGAAGCGGTACGCGTTCGTGCTGAACACGCGCTTCGACGTCCGCTTCCGCGGCGCGCCGCTCTTTCTCGACCGCGCGGCGCTCGCGCCCGGCGCGTTCTACGGCGTCGTGCACCCGGCGACGCCGGGCGTGCACCCGCGCGAGTTCGTCGACGACAAGCTCTTCGGCGCGGGCTCCGAGGCCGCGCGCGCCGCGGGCGCCGTCTTCGACCTGCTGCCGGACCTCGCCGTTAACACGCCCTACGGCGCCCTCAAATCCAAGGGCGGCATCACGAATCGCGTCGAGGAGATCGCGAACGTCGCCGGCGCGGCGCCCTTCGAGTTCTCGAACCACGTGAACCTCGAGCGCGGCGTCCTGCGCTTGCTCGGCGACGACGCGTCAGTATTCCGCCACCTCTGCGACGCGCTGCGCGACGACGGCGGCGGCGCGTGCACCCTCGAGGCCGTCTCCGAGCTCTACCGCGGCGGCGACGGCGACACCGCCTGCGCGGCAGTAGCCTGCGTAGATGAAGGGTGCCTCGTGCACGTCCGCCGCTGGCACCTGACGCGCCTCCCCTAAACACGCCCGGCACTATGGTACGCCGCTTGTCAGGCGAGGAGGGGGGGGCGGACGCGAGGCAGAGGTCGCCCGGCATCCAGGCGACGTCGAAGACGGGCACGGCCTTGCCGCGGAGAGGCGCTCGCGTCTGTCAAAGGATTGTAAGGCCCCTCAACTAAACACTAGGTAAATATTACTGTCCGCTCTTTCCTAGTAGCTTGGGGCACTCGGCCTGGTTAACACCAGGGCAGCCTTCGCTCTAGAGATGTGAGATAAGAAGAAGCGGAGGATTTCGCTAGATGTGATGCGCCTGCTATACTGTCCTTATTTCCCCTTGCAGGTTCCTCCCTTATATACTTGGTCTTCAGTTCCCCGGAAGTCCCCACTTTAGTATGGGACTCTTCCTTCGTTTTCCCCATTTCCCTCTGTTTCTCTCTTTCCATACCACGAGGGTAACCACAAGTCTTAGTGCGCCTGCGACCCCTCCTTGAAAGAGAACAGCGGCTCCTCGAGCCCCGCGCGGTAGAGCAAAAACCGCCGCGGCGTCGTCAGGTCGCCGGCCGAGGGCTCGCTCGCGTGGACCGCGGCGCGCGAGTTCAGGTTGCAGACGAGGCGGTTCGCCGCGTAGGGGATCACGCGGCCGAGGGCGATGTCGGCGGGCGCCGGGTACTTGGCCCCGTCCGGTACAAAGTTCTCGTAGAGCTCGAGGCCGCCGCCCGTGCGGTTGTCCGCGGGATCGCGCGCGTACAGCAGGCACGAGAACGCCTGCGTCCCGGGCCCGTCCAGGTGGGGCGCCTCGGCCCTCTTTCGGCCCGCGCCGGCGCCGAGGCTCAGGACCTTGTAGGGCCAGGCGCGCGCCGCGCCCGGCGCGAGGCTGTCGAGGGCGCCGGGCGGCACGTGGGGCGCGAAGAGCCGCGCCAAATGGACGTCGAGGACGCCGCGGGCCTCGCCCGGCCGCGCGCGGCGCGTCAGCGCGTCGACGAGGGCGAGCGTCGCGTTTTGTGCTTCTACGGTCGCGCCGCCGTAGGTGAAGGCGCGCGTCTCCAGGACGTCGCGGCCCACGGGCGCCGTCTTGTAGTCGCCGGCGACGTGGTTCAAGCGGTCGTCGCCGACGGCGACGTCGACGGCGGCCTCGAGGGCGCCGAACTGGTCCAGGAGCGCCGCGAAGGCGCCGTCGGGCAGGAAGCCGTCGACGACGACGTGGGGGAAGGGCTTTAGACTGACGTCCTCGGGCCCGAGCGCCGCCAACCGCGCGTCGAGCGCGGACATGAGCGCGCACGTCGCCGGCGGAGGCCCCGCGCGATCCGCGAGGCGCGCCGCCACGCGCGCCGCGACGTCCGCGGCCCGCTTCGCCGCGGCGGCGAAGCAGGCCCGCCGCTCGCCCTCGATGTTGGCCGCGAGCTGCGCCTCGCGGCACGCGGCGCCGCAGCCCGCGGCGTCCGCGGCGGCCGCGACGGCGGCCGGGATCGCGCACGCGAGGTCCTGGGCGGCGCGCTCGACATTCGCCGCGTCGGCCGTCGCGTCGATGGTCACGGACACCCGCGTGGCGTCGTCGAAGGTTGCGGCGTAGGCGCAGCTCGCGAACCCGGGCACGACGTCCGCGGCCGGCGGCGCCGCGCCGCCGTCGAAGGCGTAGGGGCACGCTTCGTCGTCGTCCGCGGCCCAGGTGAAGGCGTGGCGGTCCTCCGCGAGGCTGTAGAGATTGCCCGGCGACAGGTTCTGCCGCCCGGCGATGAGGCACGCGGGCGCGGCTTGGAGAATGGCGTAGGCCATGAACGTCTCGGAGGAAAAGAGGCCGAACTGTCCGCACAATGCCGACGCGAACTCGTTCACGGCGCAGGCCTCCGTCGCGTCGGCGAGGACCGCCGGCTCGCCCGTTCTCGCGCCTTCGAGCTCGGGCAGATGGTCGAAGATGACGCGCTTTAAATCGCGCGGCGTCGCGATGGCGCCGCCGAGGCGCTCGGGCACGTGGAGCCAGCGCCAGCGCAGCGCCGTGAGGTCGCTCTCGAGGGCGTTCGTCCAATTCAGGGGCACGTAGACCGGCCGCGTCGACTTGCGTCGGGAGAACCCGAAGCCGTCGCCGCGCGCGAACCACGGCTTGATCAATCGGTCGACGCAGCTCCCGAAGGCGGCATAGAAGACGGCCGCCGCCGCGTAGGCGACCTCGACAAAAATCTCGGCGTGGACGCGGCCGACCGCGGGGACGAGCGACGCGTAAGGAGGATGGAAATCGAGGTCCGTCCGCGTCTTCACCAAAACGTCGTAGCGTCGCAGCTCCGGCTCGAAGGCATCGAGCGCCGCCTGGAGCTGGACCCAGGAGATCAAGCGTCCGCCGCCTTTTTGCCCGCAGATCTCGCAGGCGGCGACGGCGCCGTCGACGCCGACGACGCGGTCCGGGCGGCCGAACAGCTCGCGAGCCGTCGGGAAATGCCGCGCGTACGTCGCAACGAAGCCGTCGCAGCCCGCCGCCGCGTCCTGCAGCGCGCGGAAGCTGTCAGCGTCCCGCAACCGCACCTCGCCGACGAAGAGCACCGCGACGCGCTGGCGCGCCGCCTCGGCCGGCCGGCACCCCAACCCCCCAAAGTCCGTATCCGCCGCGACCATGGCGACGCCGGACCAGACGTCGATCTTCGGCGGCGCCGCGCCGGCCGTCTGGGTGTAGGTGCCCACGCCCGTGCGCACCCAGGAGCCGTCGTGCTTGTCGTGCATCCGGATCGGCCGGCGCAGCGTGACGTCGACGAGGCGCGGCTCCGCCGCGTCGAGGCGCCGCGCGACGTCGCCCGCGACGCAGGGCGTCCGCAGGTCGACGCGGGGCGCCGACTCGGCGCAGAGCCAGGCTGCCGTCGCGGCCGCGTCGACGCCGGGCCCCGCCGCGACCGCGACGTCGAAGATCGCGATGATGTCGCGTTCCGAGTCCGCGTAGAGGGACCAGGCCACGGGCACGACGGCGCCCGCGGACCGCGGCAGCGCCACGACGGCCTCGACGAGCTCGGCGCCGACGAAGCAGAAGGCCGCGCCATCGGAGAAGCAGACCTACGAAGCGCGTCGGTGGCGATTCTTCATCGTCTTCCCGGTCAAAACCTCTCGAACATCGTCGCGGCCGCGGGACGCCGAAGCCAGACCCACGCGCGGTTCGGGTAAGCGCATTCCGGTGGCGCGCGCATCAGCTGCTCCGTCTCCGCGGGACGCACGAGAGCGTGGTGCTGGTCTTGCCGACCGTCCAGCCGGAGGGCCTCCGCGGGGAGGGGCTCGCCGTCCTCGCGGCACCGCGGCAGCTGGTTCGGGAGCCCGGCGACGACGAGGTCGTCCGAAATGAGCGTCACGCCGTCGCAGGCCGGCCGCCGCCGGGCCGCGTCGCGCGGGAGGAACATTGTCAGCGACGCGAAGAGGTCCGCCGTCGGCGGGCCGTAGAGGAGCCGTGCGCGGCGCGCGTGACGGCACGCGGACGAGTTACGTAAACCGAGGCCGCGCGCGGCCGCGGCCGCGACGGCGTCGTCACAGGCGTGGGTCTCCACGTCGTCGAGGAGCAGCGCGTCGACGCGGTCGAGGATGCCGTCGAGGGCGCCGCCGAGTAGCGTCGTCGCCGTCGTCCGCAGCAGGTCGACGCGGCCAACGATCGACGCCAACGGTGGGCCGCCGCAGGCTTCCGCCCGCTCGATGAAGAAGCGGTGGTAGCCATCCTCGACGCGCTCGTCGTCGCAGGCGAGGCGCACGACGAAGACGTCGTCGTAGCCGGGACAGTGCGCCTCGGCGTAGAGCGACTTGGATCTGGGGACGTCTTCGGTAGCGATCCATAATCTTGCCGTCTTCGGGATCTGCACATCGGCGCCGCGCGCGACGGCGGCGAGTAAGACGAGCAACGGTCGCATCGTCATCTAGCGTTGCATCACCGTCGAGAGGCTGCCTGTTTGCATCTTACAAACCTGGCTTTTGCAAACACAAGCCGGCCTACGGCAAGGATTACTATTACTATTGTAATAGTCTAAAATTAGGGAAATTACTATGTTGGAACCAATAAGGGTGTATATATACTATGATGGAAACAAGTATGGTATGAAATGCTATGATGGAACCAATCGCTAATCATGAATATGCATGAAGTCTAAGTTCATGACATGGTACGGTTCCATCGCTCTCTCGATATTGGTTCCATCATACATATTAACTCATATTGTTTCCATCATACATATGAGGATATTGATTCCATCATGCATATCCGAGCGTATTGGTTCCATCTCGCTTTATGCAATATTAAGTATTGGTTCCATCATACATATCCGCGGGTATTGGTTCCATCTTGCTTTCTAGGGCGCTATGGTGCACTGATGTATCACAGTGGCAGGTCAATACACGTTCTCCAGGGGGATGCTCGGCGGTCGGAATGGTTCCATTTCGAGGCAGCATTTAACTGGCAGACTCACATGCTCGACCTGTCAGCCAATGGTAGTTTCTGGCGGCTTCCTTTCTCCGCGTATCCGCTATCATCCGTCTACATTCGCAACGTTCGTGGCGCTGGAACGTCGTCTGCTGCCTCAGACTTTGGAGACATAGAGGTAGACTACTGTCGGATGTCAGACCAATGGGATAAGTTCAACGAGCTTGGCGAAGTCCTCCCCTACTCGTGGTACATTAGGCGGTTGCTCTACCCCTATGACCCTGCCCCTCGCGACGCGATGCGGCCTACCTTGTAACACGTCGATGTCACGTCGCTTGTCGGGGAAGGGGGGGGGGGGGGGGGGGCTCCAGAGGCTGCGCGACGCGATGGAGTAGTTGCAGATGTAGTCTGTGATCTGCCTCCGGGTGCTCTGGGCCTCGCGCGGCTCGGCCGCGGGCTCCGGCGCGGCGGCAGCGAGCGCGGGAGCCGTCGCCGCTGGTGCAGGATCAGGGATTGGTGTGGCAGGAGTGAGACAGGCCCGACGCCGGCGGCGGAGCTTTCGAACGTGTACGAAGCCATGTGCAAATGCGGTTCTCCAGCTCATCGTTCGAGACGAGCCTCTCGTCTTGGAGCCCCTCGTCTTGGAGCTCTGCAATGCTCTCGATGCCGAGCTGGATCAGAGGCTCGTAGAAATGGCCCATGCTCAGCTCTTCCAGCAGTTTCTTCATCACGATTCTGGCGAAATATGGCTTCGCGGAGTTGGTCATCATTTGCAAATGTAGCACGTCCGCAAATTCGAGGTGGTCGAGTACGAGACCAGTGAGCTTGGTCCACATCTCGTTCACTGGCACGGCGCGGGGGTGCCCTCGAGGCTGCTGCGCAAGGCTGCGGTGTACGAGCGGAGCCCCGCTCGCCGAGGATTCATATCAAGACGGACCCTGCCGGCACAGCCCACATTTAGTTCGATTTATTTAGTTTTAGTGAGAATTTCAAGACGGACCCCACGTGCACCGGCGCACGATCACGCCAGGGCGGACCACGTCGCGCTGATGCGCTGGCGATAGTTTCGGCCCGGCGACAGTAGGGGGGCAGCCGCCAGGGGCCTTGAGGGAAAGTGGCTGAGCATCGCCGCCATTCTCATCCCCGCCGGCCGCGTTTGCTTGCAGCAGCCTGCAGAACGGGAAAGCAGCAGAAACCACCATCCTCCCGGAGCGAAAAGCAGAAACAAAAGCAGCAGACAGGAAAGCAGCAAAAGCAAACTTCCTCCTTGAGTGTGATCATCGTCGTCCTCGATGACCCTCCTCAGCTTCCTGAGCACAGCCCCCATCTTCCCCCTTGAGTGTGATCATCATCCTCCTCAGCCTGTTGAGGAAGGTTGAGTGTGATCATCATCCTCCTCAGCTTCCTGAGCAGGAAAGCCACCAGCTTCCTCCAAGGTTGAGTATGATCATCATCCTCCTCAGCTTCCTGAGCAGGAAAGCCACCAGCTTCCTCCAAGGTTGAGTATGATCATCATCCTCCTCAGCTTCCTGAGCACAGCCACCATCTTCCTCCTTGAGTGTGATCATCCTCCTCAGCCAGCTGAGGAAGGTTGAGTGTGATCATCATCCTCCTCAGCTTCCTGAGCAGGAAAGCCACCAGCTTCCTCCAAGGTTGAGTATGATCATCATCCTCCTCAGCTACTTTGGGATAGGCCGGGAAAGGAAAGAGAAAGGGAGGAGAGCCTCCTCAGTGGGGAAGGTCAGTCAGGGTGGCAGTAGGCTCAGTAGGCTGAGCCTATGGTCCTATAAAGAGGAGAGTAGACCTTGAGGATAAGTTGAGGTATAACTTGAGGGTAGAGGTAGAACTTGAGGGTAAGTTGAGGAAGAGTCAGGAAATAATCCTCGAGCGCAGCTATAGCAGGGTTAGAAAGTATTTAGGGGAAAGGCAGAATTTTGAGTGGCTCTGTACCAGCGAGCCACTAGGAAGGTACAAATCTCTCTATCTCTCTACTGCGCGAGGTCGTCGCCGTCGAGGCCCGCGCGGTAGGCCGGGAAGAAGGCCCCGGCCCGCGCCGCGAGGTCGACCACGTCCGTGTGCACCGCGCCCGCGCGGATCGCCATGAGCGCGTCGAACGCGCCCGGATCCAGCACGGAGGTGCCGAGCGTCCAGTCGAGGACGACGTCGCCGACGGCGCGCTTGAACGTCGCGAGCGCGTCGCCGGGCCGGAGGCCCCCGCCCAGGTGGAGCGTCGCGCAGCCGAGGGCCGCGCCGAGTCGCGCGGCGGCGTCGAGGATGGCGCTGGGCCCGGCGAGCGCGTAGCCCGCCGCGCGCGACCCCGAGAGGTGGTAGTGGAGCACGGCGCCGTGGCGGAGGAAGAGCGCCGCGGACACGAGCGACCCGTCCGCCGCCGTCGCCGTCGCATAGTAGCAGTCGCCGCGCGGGACCTCGGCGACCAGGGCGGCGTAGTAGGCCTCGTCGAAGTAGTAGAAGCGCGACGCGCTTCGCCTGTCCATCGTCTCCTCGTAGAGGTCGCGGAACGAGGCGACGTCGGCGGCCGTCTCGACGACGGACATGGCCACGGCGACGCCGCGCTTGCGCGCCTTGCGCACCTTGTTCCGGTGCTGCTTGGCCGCGCGGCGCCAGTAGCCGTCGGCGCCGTCCCGGAGGTCCGCGGCGATCGTCGCGACGCATCGCGTCGCGAGCGTCGCCGCCGCCGCCCCGTAGGCCGTCGCGAAGTGCGGGAAGAGCGGCGAGAAGCGCACGAACTCGGAGACGTAGCCGCGCTCGCGCGCCAGGGCCACGAAGGCCGCGCGGAACGCGGCCCAGTCGCTCTCCGTCGCGCCCGGCGAGGACCACGGCCCGGAGTAGCCGTAGGGCGACCGCAGGTCCCAGCCCACGCGCCGACCGCGTTGCAGCACGGGCCGCTTCGCGTAGGCGTAGGCGACGAAGGCCGGCCCGGCGCCGTCGGACGCGTCGTCGCGCCGCCGCCACAGGGCGAGCTCCCAGGCCGACGCGCCGGCCGCCAGCTCCACGGCGCCCCACGCCGGGCTGTAGTAGAGGTCCGGCCACGGCAGCGCCAAGGCCTTCGCGGCGTCGACGCTGTCGTAGCACGTCAAGCCGACCTCAGGGGCTGCCTCCATCGTGTGCCTTCTTCATGTATCGGCGAGGAGCGGCGCGACCGCGGGCGCGCTCCTCTGGATCCTGTTTGACGCCTACAATAGTACGTGGTTTGGAGCGGCGTTGCAGTTTGCCCTTAATGTAACTTGAAGGGCAGTTTACCAAGGCGAGGCTTGAGGGGGGGAATTGGCCAAATTGGCCGGATTGGCCGCGTCGGACGTACGCCGTCGGACGGCAGCCAACCGCGATCGGACGATCGGACGAAGAGCCAACCGCGATCGGACAAGGACGAGGCCATTGGACGAACCCGCGGCCATTGGACGCGACCCCCGGCCATTGGACGTAAAAGACATCCATTGGCTACGATCTCGCGACGTTGTGGGCAGCGTCTGGGGCAGCCCGCTCGCGAGCGGCGACGGCCCGGAGCGCGTCGATTCCATGGGAGTGGCCAACGCCGCCCTCCCACCCGCCCAAGACCTCGACGCCGATGAACCAGAACTTCCGATCCGCGGACTGCCGCCGTTCTGCAGACATCGATCACTGCGACTGCGGCGCGCGTCCCCACCCGATTTTTGCAGCTCCGGATTTATACGCCTTCACAGGACATGGGAACAACACATCATCTCTGTGCGGTCGCCCTACGGCTGACTTGGGTTCGAATTTCTCCCACGCGCGCGACGACGACGACGGCGGCGGCGGCGGCGGCGGCGGCGGCGGCGGCGGCGGCGGCGGCGGCGGCGGCCGACCGACCGACCGACCGACCCCCAAAAGTAGGTTGCAAGGGCTTCGCCGGGGACCCGAAGGGACTCGCCCGGCACCTCCCCTAAGCCCCAATATTTTTTTTTTTTAATTTTACCCCCCGTACCCCGGCGCTCGAGACGGCCTCTCCGGCTGGTAGTCCTCGTACTAAGCCCGCGACGCCGCGCACCGTCGGTTTTTACGCGTCGGCCAGATCGGCGCGATCGGACGATCGGACGATCGGCCAGATCGGACGATCGGACGAAGCCCATCGGACGCACGGCCAATCGCCGTTGGACGTGGCCAATGGGATTCGGCCAACGCGGCCAATCCGGCCAATTTGGCCAATTCCCCCCCTCAAGGCGAGGCAGTGGGGGGAATCAAAATCGCAAAATCGTAAGGGGTTTGGGGTATTTCGGGTCCGCGGAAGGAGGGCTTCTGCAGGGCTTCTGGCACGTGGCATGGGGCGGGTCGCGCCCTCTAAGGCGTGGGCGGCGCGTCAGAGGTCCTCGGCGAGGCGTGAGCGGCGGTGTTGAGGTCCCTTTTGAAGGGCAGGCGGCTGTGTTGAGGTCCCTGTTGAAGTGCAAGGTTTCACGGTGAAGTCCAAGTTGAAGCGGCGTTTAGCATATCCCGCCGGCGGGATATGTTATTAAGTGGCGCCCAATCACCACAAACGGATATCACATGTGCACCGGGCGGGGGAGGTCGACGTCCTCGTTCCTCACCTCGTCCGTCGCGCAGTCGAGGGTCGTGATCTTCGCCACGCTCACAGACGCAGCAACGAAGGCTTCGACGTCGCCGACGGTGTCGTCCGGCTTGCAGAGGTCGACGCGCGACACGGACGCCGGGCGCGCGAGGTCACGAAGCGCGGCGAGCACGTGGGGCTTGAGCGTCGCGTCGCAGTCGGCCGCGGGCACGCCCGCGTCGTCGCAGGCGGCGCCGACGTCCCGCGACGCGTCGCGCGCGGACCAGAGCGCGCCCCCGCCGGGCACGGCGACGGCGAACGACCGCTGGGCCCCGCGCCATGTGAAGTGGAACGTCGCGCGGATCTCGCCGTCGGGCTGGACCTCAGCGTCATAGCCGTCGGCGGTGGCCGCGGCGACCGCCGCGTCGCGCGGCGGCGCGGCCAGGAGCGAGTCGCAGACTCGGCGCTGGACGCGCGTGTCCGCGCGCGGCCGGTTTTGCATGCTGTGCAGATGGGCGCTCCCCATCGCGCTCCAGCCCCAGAGGCCGCCCCAGACCGAGTGGGGCCTGGCGCCAAAGTCGCGGTTCGCGAATTCGAGGAGCGACTCGCCGGCTGCGGACGTCGCGACGTCGCCGCCCGCGAACCAGTCGTGGGCGCTCGCGTGGTCGCCCGACGCCAGCGTTGCGTGGAGCCGGTACGTGCAGGTCCCCCAGACCTGGGCGAACAGGGGCCACTTCTGGTCGACGGCCACCCCCCCGAGGAGGCGCCGCGCGGACGCCGGGAGCGCCAGGGCGCCCGCGTACCTCGACTTCAGCGTCGCGTCGCACGATGCGCAGAGGACACGCGCGTTCGCGTAGACCAGGAGCGCGGCCAGCGAGGCCTGAACGCGGCCGTCGCGGCGCCCATTTTCTCCTCGCGGCGGCGGCGGCGGCGCGAGCAGGAGCGGCGCGCTCGCGCCCAGGGCGACGAGGGGGAACTCGAAGATCGCGAGCGCCCACAGGTTGACGCCGTGGAAGAGAACCAGCGCCGCCCCGACCGCGCGGCGCCGCACCAGGAGCAGCGGTCCCAAACCGAGCTCGAACAGAACGGCGCCGCGCGTCAAAACCCCCCCAAGCCTCGGGGGCATCGCGCGCGCGGCGCGGGCGCCGAGCGGCGCCGCGTAGACGGGCATCGATAGCGCCGCGCGCAGCGCGCCGCCCGTCCGCACCCACGCGTCGCGCCCGAGGCCGGCCTTCTCGGCGCCCGCGAAGGCGTGCGTGGCCCAGATCTGGAAGAGGACGCCGACGGCGCCCGCGCTCGGCCCCGGGTCGTCGGGCGTGAGGGCGACCCAGAGCTGGACGAGCGCCGCGTACGCCCACTGCTTTCCCAGGCCGTGCGACTCGAAGCACGCGCGCTCCGACGAATGCAGCAACGCCCAGAGCAGGGTTTCCCGGAGCGGGCTCGCCGGCGCGTCCCTCGACGCCGAGACGAGCTGCGCCGCGCCGAGCGCCGCCTGGAGCGCGTAGAGGACGTAGGACGCGCCCTCGACCTTGACGTCGTGGAGCGACACGTGGCCCACGGCGCCGACGCGGCAGAGGCCCCCGGGGCCATGGAGCGCGTCGTGCAGGTTCGGCAGCAGGTTCCCGCGCGCGTCCAGCAACGCCGCGAAACCGCCCGTCGCGAGGAGCCAGCGCCGCGCGCCGCGCGGCAGCGAGAAGGCCCGCCGGAAGCGCGGGCACCGGTCTTCGACGCGGAGGTCGAGCGCGCGATCGAGCGCCGCGACCGCGGCGGCGACGGCGAAGCACGCGGACCACGCGACCATCCACAGGGTCACGTAGTCCTCGAGCGTCGACGGGAGGAGCGCCGCCGCTCCTGCCGGCGCGGCCTCGCCCGCGGCCTCGCGCTCGCCGGCGTCCGCCGTGGCGTCGGGCTCGGACCGCGCGGTGTCGTCGTCGTCCAGAGGCGCGGCGTCGTCCGGAGACGCGGCGTCCACGTCGGACGCCGCGGCGTCGCCATAGGGCGCGGCGTCGCAGGCGGCGTTCAGGCGCGCGTGCGCCTTGATGTACTCGACGGCACAATCGTCGTCGGCGCAGCCCATCTGGTCGAGGGGCAGCGCGAAGCGGGCCACGAACCCGCGCACGGCGGCGTCGAGCTCCGCATCGTCCGCGAAGGCGAGGCCTACGCCCGCGCCGTCGACCTGGATCGTGACCTCGCAGACCCGCGCCCGAGCGCCGACCGCGGCGTAGGCCAGCGCAGCGCGCGCGACGCGGCGCGTCATTCAGATGCAGCCGTCTCCGAGCTGCGGTACCCCCCCATCGAGGACACAGCCCGGTCCGAATTTTCGACGAGCGGCAGAGCTACTTGTAGTAGTTTCCGTCCACTTGGCCTTTCGTATCTCCCACTAGCCTGAGCTAAAGGAAGCAAGTAAAATCCTCCCTCAAGGGGAGGTTGCAGTGAACCGCCTCCTAGGTGGTTGGGAAATGCTATCATCTCCTATGCGCTAAACGCTCTCTGTAGCGCGAAAATGCCTGACTGCAAGTCAGGTGAAACTCCCCGGCTGGGGGAACGTTGGGGGAACCTCTCTGCTCCCCCGCAGCGAGTCGGGCGTGGCGACGGGCCACGACCGGGAGCTGGGTGAGAGTCGGGTGAGCACGCGAACCTGGTCTCGAACCCGACCTGCACACTCACAGCGCGCTGTTTTTCCGGCTGCGTAGCTGAGCTGGCTTGCCCTCTGGCTCTCCGAGTCGGCCGGTGACGGCGTCCATGGTCCGGGCGAACCGATCGGGCGCCTCCGCCGCGGTCAGGCCGTTCGCCGGGTTCACCTCAGTGCCAACGTAGAGGATCTTGACGCCGTCGCAGTCGAGCATGTCGTAGCAGAAGCCCAGGTGCACGCGAATGTGCCGCGACTTCGACGTCAAATCGCGCTTGCGCATCGCGAAGACAACCGCCTGGTTGTCGCAATAGGGAACCTCTCTGGTCTCTTGTGAAAGTTGATTGCCCTGCTCAGCTGAACAACCAGCAGTTTTATTTAGCTGGATGATGATAGGTGGTCTAAACTCACTAAAGTTTCTCGTTACCCGAAACATATTGTACTGCCGCAAATGCATTTTTTTTTTTTTTTCAAGTCGCTGCACATCGCTCGTCGTCACTTTCCACCTCAGGCTTCTGGATGAACATGACGAACATCTGCGTGTTGCGCGCGCGATCTTGGGATGTTGGGTTGAACGCGGCACCTGATGTCGCGGTATTGTCGGCGTGCTTCCTCGTCGGCTGTCGCCATCGTCGGGCGTCGAGGAGGGGGCTTGGGCCGCAGGTCAGGCCCAGGCGCGTCTGGGGTGGTCATGGCGCTAGAATGGCCATCCGATTCGCAAACTTGAACTGCACGCGGCGGCGCACATGGACGGTGGTGCCGAGATACGGTCAAGGGGATTAATTTGCACGCCCCCTTATCGATCGACTTCACGTGGTGCACCAGCAGTTCCGGGCGTCGAGGTAGATGAGGCAGTGGCCCTCGCCCTCGCGGCAGACGTCGGTCTCGCAGCGCTCGTCGCCCCGGCAGGTCGGCAGCTGCGCGTGGAAGCCGACGGTGAGCACGTCCTCGCGCTCGATGCAGTAATCCAGGACGTGGGGGCAGATGGGCCGCGCGCGCGTCGCGTCGCGGGCGAAGAAGACGTTGATCTCGCGCGGTGCGGACTCGAGGCGGCCCGCGTGGTCCGCAGCGTGGTCGCACAAAAACGCGCGCGTCTCAAAGGGCACGTGGAAGCCCGCGGCCGCGGCGAACTCGACCGTCGCGGCGCAGCCGTTCTGCGTCTCGTACATGAGCGCCTCGTCTCGCAGGAGCGCGTCGACGACGATCGCGTCGACGCGCGCCAGGGAGTCGCCCGCGCCCTCGAGGATCTTCAAACCGTGGCCCTGCGCGTCGACGTAAAGAAAATCGACGTGCGCACCGACGGGCAGCAGCACGTCGAAGACCGACTTCAGCGTCATCGTCGGCACGCGGCGCACGCCGCCGACGGTCGCGCACGCCCGCTCGCCGGGGCTCGGCTTCGCGAGCGCGCTGCACCCGTCCTGCGCGGCGACGTGGAAGTCGGCCTCGCCGTCGACCGCGTCGAGCGCGAAGGGCAGCGCGACGCCGCGCCGGCCGTCGAGGCGCCGGAGGCCGCCTGCGCCGCCGCTCGGCGCCGCGACGGCGCCCGCGACCACGCGGCCGTAGTGTTCCAAGAGCGGCTCGAAGCTCACGATGTATACGTCGTCGTAGCCCTCGCAGAGCAGCTCGCAGTTGGCGAGCCAATTCCGGCTGTTCGTGCCAACTTCGAGCCAGATGCGCGCGCCCTCGGGCACGTCGAGGCGTCTCGTGGCGGGATCGAGCGTTGCGACCTGCAGCGACGCTGTCAGGCGGCCCTGGTCGTCGACCTCCCAGCTCCCCGCGAGTGCCGCCAGCAGGCACGGGAGGAGCCGCTTCATCGCGCGGCGTTCGTCAGCCCACATCTTAGAGCTCGCCGCTGCGGCTCTCCATACCGGACGGCCCTGGCTCAAGACTTTACGTTGACGCGAGTTGGCAGAGAACGACCTCGGGCGTGGCGAGCACCGACGTGGGCAGCGTCTCCACGAGGCGACGGTACAGTAATCTTCGAATTTAATGCAGCGACCAAATTTAATGGTTTGACTGCAAAAGGGCCAAATTTGGGAGCAAATCTAAAATTCTCTGCATATGCTTTTTATTTGTGCAGATGAAGTCAAGTGGTTCACAAATATACTCATCCCAAACAAGCTTAATTTTGGGGAGTTTGGCAGTGTCCCTCTTTTTGTTGACAATCAAGCGGCTCTCTCTGAGATCATCCCAAGATGTCTCTAGTACCTCAACTTATCCTCAAGGTCTACTTCCCTCTTTATAGGACCATAGGCTCAGCCTACTGAGCCTACTGCCAGGTAGAAGCCTCTCTATCTCTCTAGAAAGTGAGAGCACTTCGCCGTGGGAAGTCGGGGTTGGACGTCCATCAAGACGAGCCGAACGTTCGGACGCCCATCAAGACGAGCCGAGCCCGAAAGCGAACCAGAGCCAGAAAGCGAGTCAGAACCCGAGCCCGAGTCAGAACCAGAGAGCGAGCCTGAGAGTGAACCCGAAAGCGAACTGAGCCCGAGAGTGAGCCAGAATATATACTGTGAATGAACGGTTTGAGCGGCCCAAGATTGAGCGAACCGTATAAGATTAACGGCGAGCCATCCAATCGTGAACGGTTGTCCCAAATTGTATCGGCGCCCCAAATTACAGCGGTGGTTCCCTAGTGCATGTCATAAAGATGCTTTCCCGAATGCTGCGTCGCGACCAGGACTCTTCGGCGTGCTCGGTGCTGGTGTACTCGCCCGCGCGCCTAATCTCTGGCGTGCCATTGCTCGGTTGTAAAAAAGTGGCATGTCATAAAGATGCTTTCCCGAATGCTGCTGTGTGCTTGCGCCGGGTGCGCGTCCGCGGCGCCGACGCTTCTCCTCGCGGCCGCTGCTATTCCCATGACTCGATTTGACAACTTTACACGCAAGGAGCTCGGAGAGATGATTGGCCTTGCCTGTGCGACGGACTTTGACATCCAAGTCGTCGTCGATGCCGACATGAGGACATGGGTCGATAAACTCCCACAACTCTGCAATCGCATCGACCTCGCAACGCTGAGTAGGACGGCGATTCACGGCTCACGGGACGGACCGTGCGAGGACAAGATTGGCGTCAGGCCGTGTCCTGAGTTGCTGCGCGCCGCTCGCTCCTTCAAAGTCCGGGTATGGATGGTGCGGCCCGAGGCCCCAATCTAGCTGCCCCGGGTACTCCCGATACAGGACGCGCCAGATCCCGATACGCCTCACCGAAACGGACGAACAGCGACGAAACATTTAGTGCGTCGCGACCAGCTCTCGTTAGCTGCAGCCAAGTTTTTTTTCGAGACAAGCGACTGCCCGCATTCGTTTGCGGAGCGAGGCCAAGACAAACGCTCCATCCGGAACGAGCTCACAGCCTCGCGCCGACGAACGCGGGCCGGCACGCCTGGTCCTCGAAGCACGGGCCGTCGGCGCAGGCGAACGCCGCCGGGGGCCGGGCCAGGACGTCCCTCGCCGCCGCCGCGCCGCGGAGCGAGTACCGCCACCAGAAGTCGAGCGCGAGCGCTTCGTCCGCGCGCCGTCTGCGCGAGGCCCACCAGCGCGCGAGCGCGGTCTCGGTCAGCGCCTCCCACTCCTCGACGAACGCGGCGCCGAGCTCGCGGTACGCGGCGTCGAGGTCCGAGCGTCTCACGACGGGCACGGAGCCGACGGCGACCGCTTCGAACGCCTTCGGCGCCGGGTCGACGCCGCCGCCCTCCACGCAGAGCACGAACGCGTGCGCTTCGAGCCACGCGGCCCAACCTGCGCGCGCCGCGGCCTCGACGAAGTGTTGACGGAAGCGCGCCGGGGTGCGCGCCGTCGCCCGTCCGCGCTTCGGGCGGCGGCACGGCGGCGAAGGCGCTCCAGTTTTGCGCGCAGAGGCGGGCGACGCGGCGGCGCGGCTCCCACTGCGGCCCGGCCCGGATCCTCGCCGCGCACGCGACCCGGAGGTCCTTTGGCGCCGTCCGCGCGCGCCCGAGGAGCTCGAGCGTCCGCGCTCGCTGCGTTGCGGTCATGAGCACAAACCCGACGGGCAGCGGGACCATCTTTTCGGGGTGTGGCCAGTCGACGCCGCCCGTGACGAGGTTCTCCACGACCCAGCGCTCAACGAGGGGCGAGTTCAAGACCTCGAGGACGCTCGCGTCGTCGTTCGGTCCAAATCGCGCGTCGACTTGCAGGGGGAGCGTCGAGTCCTCGGACCCGCTGTAGAGGACCACGGGACGCGTCAGACGCGGCAGCACGCGGTCCGCGAAGACGCGGATCGCGTCGCCGCCGTAGAAGTTGCGGTTCCCGAGCCACACGGTCCGCGGGACCCTCCGTCGCCGGACGAGGTACGTCCGGAAACCGCACGTCCCGTTCTCTCGAAAGATGATCCAGTCGCAGAGCGAGGCGACGCCAAAGTCCGGGACGCCGACGCGCAGATGCCGCGTCGTGTGGAGCGCCCGCCAATCGAGGTCGCCGGGACTCCAGTTTCTGAGTTTCTCGCTGAGATTGAATTCATTCGGTGATGTCGGCGCGTCAGGAACCGGAGCCGGCGGCGCGTCGTAGACTTTAAGGAGGTGGGTTGTCTCCTCATTTTTGGCCGCAAGGAGGTGGGTCATGGTCCGGAACCACTCGCGGGACGCCGGCCGATGCCGGTGGATGCGCCGCTCGTCCGAGTAGTCGAGGCGGACGAAGAGGCAGTCCACGCGTTCGCAAGCGGCGCGCGAGTCGAAAAGTCGCGCGCCGCGCCGCCCCGGCGGCATCAGCGACACCGCCGACGCATTTCGCACGCAGGTCTCGTCCACGGCCCATTTACCGAACGCCGTCTTCCGCCTCGGGCTCTCGAGGAGGTCCTCGTAGGGGAACGTGTAGCCCGAGGGCGGGGAGAAGATGTCGTCGGTCGTCGACGCGACGCAGCCTCGCGCCGCGAACGCCGCGACGGCCGCGTCCCAAAGCGCGACCTGGTCCTCGGCGCCGCAGCGTTCCGCGTACCACGACTCGAGGAACTGGCGCGCGGCGGCGTCGTCGCGGACCGCGAGGGACGCGCTGGAATACTGCCACGGCAGCGACGTGCGTCTCGCGAGGCCGGCGAAGACGACGGACGCCGACCCGTCCCCGACGCGAGGCACCGCGAAGCCGTCGAGCGATATGTTTGAGACGGTAAGCTGCAGCTTACTTCCGGGCAACATAGTTGTCTTTTGAGGTGAAGAGAGATCGGAGGTGCAATTGTGAATCCCTCCAGGCCTACGCGGCGCACTCGTCCCGCGTCTGGATCCGAGCTCGAAACGGAACCAGCGGAAGAGCTGTTTCCGCATCGTACACAACTAGCGCTGGCACCGCCGCCCATCCGTAGAATAAAACACGGGGTGTCCCAGTTCCGCTCAGGTGCGCTCGAGACAGAAGGGAACTGGGACCAAGAACCAGAATGGTGGCGGATACGCTGTCTCCACTTGCAAGAGCGAAAGTGGCAGCGTGACATCTTGCCTCTTCGCGTTCACACTCGATGTTTGGACGTAAGGCGATATATCCGGTGACGTGGCGCAGATCAACTCGCACGGACACTCCGAAAGTATCGCACACGAGTGTATCGACTGAAAGGAACTCCGGGGCGCGCCATGGAACATCATGGCCAAACAGTATGTCTAGAGCAGACCCAGCGAGACGCGTCCCGACGACTCTTTTGTTGGCCATTGACGGATGAATGTCGCACGGAGCGCTGTTCGCATCTTCAGCAACCGCATACCCAACATTGGGAAGATCAAGCATCTGCATCTGGGCGTGCCGGAGAAACGGAAGCGATAAGTTTGTGCCACGTTCGCAAAAGGAGGAGAGTCGCACAAAGCCAAAATAGGCACTCCAGAGACCAAATATTAGGCGCAAATCAGTGACAAATCGCTTGAAAAGACAACCAAGTACAGCTCTGGGCTGGGAGCTGGCGAAGACATAGGACTCGCCGAGCCAAACTACGAACCCTGCGAGTCGCATAGGCACAAACGGAGAAATTGTGGCGTTAAAACATGCCGATGCCCCCCCAAATGCGTATGGTAATGCTCGAAAATTTGGCGTGGCATCACATGCGTCGAGAGTTTTGTGCCACGGTGGAATCCACTGCTCGATAAATGTGTTGCCAACTGCGGCAATTATCACCCCCACGGGCACTCTTGTGTGCTCGTGCACTTTTGTCGCAAACGCATGACATGTAGGACTAGTTGGCCGAGAACTCCAGCGGCTCGCTGATGCGCGGGGAAGTTCCGCACGAGCAAAAGCACCTTCGCGCTCGCAGAAGCGCGCATCTCCGTACGGCTGGAATATGGGCAAGACGCGCACAGATTTCCGAGTCAGATTCTGATCTGAAGGACCAAGCAGATTCGACTGCCCCACGCAGAGAAACACGTCACCGAATAGCACGTCATCGATCGCCGCCGTGGTCTGTGCCTCTGACAATTCTTCTGCGTGCAACTTGTGGCCCTGGATACCCCCAATCATAATCGGAAGATCGCGTCTCCAATATCCCGTATCTTGTGCCGACGTGACTTCGCCAAGTTCCCTCCCATCGAGCGAGAGACTGACATTTGCTCCTGGTATAGTGGCATGACCCCAAACAAGCGCAGGCACATCGCGTTGCAGGACCATTCCAGTGCTAAATACGCTGGATAAGAGCCCTGAAGTTTCCAGGGCATCGCCCTGAGTCAGAGGAGAAGCTGCATCGGTGGCTCCAAACAGCGCCTGTCGTCCTGCAAAAATTGAAGTCTCGTAGGTGACAGCGAGGGCTAGGGTTCGCGCCGCTGCCGCAATGCGAGCTGCCAATTTTTTATGTCGAAGAGCCCACTCAATCATTTGCAATAGATCGTCGAGGTCACGTCGCACGGGCACAAAGTGTACCCACGGCCGAAACTGCTCGTGCCAAAATTCGACAGCGCCACCTGAGGCTCGACTGGAAGCGACCTTGAGTACTACTGCGCGACCGTGTAGCAGCTTCTTGAAGTAGCCCCCAGTGGTACCGAAGCCGTCTATCGAGATTTGAACAAAGTGCCGAGAGAGCCACGTATCTGACGCTCGAATGGTAGTTGTGAGGTTCGCGTCGCGCGCCGCGGCCATTTCTCGGAGGCTGAGCAGTGGGTAGTTCGGGTGAGACAACTTAGCATCCAAAAGATCGGGTCGCGTCGCAGATAGATAACACGCACGGAGACGCTGCAAGTCCCAAGATGACGCACCTGGTGGCGACATGCCGTTCTGTCCCCGCAAGAGGTCTGCGCCACTTGGAGCACCTCGCCAGACTGCTCTGAATATGTCTGGCCATGGTGCACGCGGCATCCTGCGATCAGAATCGAACCCACCGGAGGCAGAAAACGTTATGTCGGGCATGAAACGGATTCCTGGAGTTCCTCGTGGAATACGGCCGGCAAAAAGGGGCAGTTCTCCCTGTCCACGAGCCGGTCGTAGGTCTCGACGCGCGTGCGCCAGTACCGCTCCGCCTCGGGCGCGAGGACCGCACCGTCAGCGTCGTCGTCGTAGGCCAGCGCGAGGTCGTAGATCGTCGACACCGGCACGTTCCGGTCGTAGGTGTTGGGCGCCCACGGCACCGAGAGGAAGAGCGCGCCGCCGGGCCGGAGGACCCGCATCCACGCCCGCAGGGCCCGCAGCGGGTCGGCGAAGTGCTCGAAGACCTGCGCGGACGAGACGCGCGCGCGAGTCGGAAGCGGTGGGCCGCCCCCGACGCGCGGCGAGGAAACCCCTTGTAGCCGCGCCGGCGCGCGCGTGGAAGGCCATGACCACGTCGTAGCTCTCATCTTCAAAGTCCGACAGCGCCCCTCCGTCCGCGATGATGAGTCGGCCGAGCTGCCGGTCGCCAGCGTAGAAGACCAGGGTCTCGTCGCCGTCGCCGATTTGTGTGGCGCGCCTGACGGCGCCCGTAGCGACGTCCCAGTTTACGATGTCAACGCCGCGCCACGGCAGGGCCGTGTAGAGGCCTGCCATGTTTGAGATGCTCGGGCCGCCGATTTCCAGGGCCGTCGCGTTCGTCGAGATGGCCGCGAGCACGGCCTGGAATCCCGCGCCGTCACCGGCGGGCACGATGACTCGGCGCTCGGTCGGCAGCGCGTACGACGCGTTCGGACACGCGCCGTCGAAGGCCGCACGGGCGGCCGCGACTAGTGAGGCGGCGCGGAGCATAGTGTTGAATTAGTACTACTCGGTATGATTCTTGAATATGAAGACATGATCATGTGTGGATACGAACATTTTGACTTCGATTCTGTCGAGCCACTGGCCGGGGTCAGCGTATTGCAGACACCATTCGCATGCGTGGCGAATCACACCGGTCCTGTGACTGGGAACGCCCACCGGATCTCGACTTCGGCGCCTTCCAGGGGAAGAGGCCGCTCCCTCCTTTTCCCGATGACATCGAAACAGGCCTTCGCGTTGCCAGGCTATCGCGAAGGTCTTGGATTCGTTGCTATTGTACATGTAACAAGTTGTAACAAGCTAGATCATATAGGAAATGAGCCGTAGTGATTATAATTGCCCAACGTATATATCATAAACGATGCGAGCCATTCGTTTTAAAGTTTGCATCTTCTTCAATATTGGCTGTGCACTCACAGCCATTCATATCCCAAAGTTCATCGAGCTCAGTGAAGTTTATTCCGTCAAGGGTTAGTTTTGCTTATGTTCTAGCACTCTACGCACACTGGCAGTGCATACGGACTGTATGAACACCGGGAGGTTGTTCACCTCGAAGCTGATGTCGACGCCGGCGCCAGCGCACCGGGCCGCGCAGAGCAGCAGGGCGGCGAGCGCGCGCCCAGCCATCGTTCGCGCCGCAGCGATGAATGCGGCGCTGGCATGAGTAGACCATGCCGCTCCCTTACCCCCGCGTGAGGTCATAACTTCCCCCAGGCGAGGGATTAAGGGACAGGAGATCTCTCCGCCAGGGGAGGGGCGTGGTCTACTCAGGTCAGAATGCGGCGTGTCGCAGATGAAGGCGGGGCCGCACCGTGAGTAGACGTCGACTTCTTAAAGTCTTATCAAGACTACCTCCCAACTTTACCCAACTTTTTGTGCCACAAGACTACCTCCTAAGACTTACCTCCCCTTGCCACGCTGTTATGCTGCGTCGCTGTTCAGCGTAGCTGTCTGTAGGGCCAGCTCATGCGGGCATGCGGGTCTTGGCTCTTCTCGCGACGATCGCCGCAGCGCAAGACTGCCTCCTGACGCTGCAAGTGGACGGCGTGACTCGGTCGATCGATGCGCGCGCGACGATCGAAACTCTCCGCTCGTTCGCGCGCGGCGCGGTCCTGCGCGGCGCCGGCTGCGGTGACGACGAGTCGTGCATCCTAGACGTGCTCGCAGGCGCGGCGGCCGCGGCGCGAATGGCGTGTCCCCGCGCCGACGCCGATGCGGCGGCGGGCGTCGACGTCCCCCCGGGCTTTAAGCCACGCATCTTCGACGTGCTCACGGGCGCACCCGGCCTCGAGCCCCTCTTCGAGGTGCCCGACATGCCGCTCTACATGGCGGCGGCCGCGCCGGGTACGGCCGCGCGCGACGACTCCAAGGCGGCGCTGCGGTTCTGGTGGTCGCCGGCCACGGGCAGCGTCCAGGTGCACCCGCTCGCGCCCCTCGAGGAGGTCTACGCGCGGCAGCACACGGCCTCCATCGGGAGCCTGTGGCCGAAGCACCACGCGGCCTTCGCGGACTTCATCACGCGTCGGCGGCCGCGCCACGTGCTCGAGGTCGGCGGCGGGCCCGGCGACCTCGCGAAGCAGCTCGCGGGGCGCGCCGTCGAGCGGTGGACGCTCGTGGACCCGCGCGCGACGTGCCCCGAGCTCGAGGGGCTGGACATCGTCCGGGCCTTCTTCGACGACGTCGACGAGGGCGCCCTCGAGCCCGTGGACGCCGTCGTGCACTCGCACCTCTTCGAGCACCTCTACGACCCGCGCGCGTTCCTCGGGCGCGTCGCGCGGCTCCTCAAGCCCGGCGGCCGCATGCTCTTTAGCGCGCGTGGCCGCGCCCCGGACGCGCGGCGCGCGCCGAGCGGCCGCGCGCATCAGGTGCCCAACATGACGGGCGCACTCAAGACGTCCACGCAGCCCTCGCTGCACTGGGAGCACACCTGGCTGGTCCACGAGGCCTACGTGCGCTGGCTCCTCGCGGACTTTGGGTTCGAGGTGCGCGACACGCTCGCGTTCGGCGGCGCGCACTCGGTCTTCTACGACGCCGAGTCCTCAAGCGGCGCAAAAAGACCGAAATAGAGGCGCGGAGCGTTCGATCCCAGGTACGTGGGTCCCCTCCCCAGGGGCGCGGGCCCGCCGCCGTGCCTCGGCACGCAGCTCGCGGACCTGGTGCTCGCGTGGAAGGCCGGCCTCGACGCGGACGCGGCCCGCTTCCAAAGGGCCGCGAAGGCCCACGGCGGCGACGCATTCGTCTTCGCCGCGCACGTGGGCTCGCAGTACCTCCTCCGGACGGGGCTCGACGAGGGCCTCCTGCGGGGCGTGCTGGACAACAACCCTGCGCGCGCAGGCCGGCGGCTCGCGGGCTTCCGCCTGAGCACGGCGCGGCCGGCCGACGTCCTGACGAACGCGACGCGGCCACTGGTACTCCTGCGCCAGGGCGTCTACGATGACGAGATCGAGGCCGACCTGAGGCGGGCGCGCGACGACGTCGAGGTCCTCCGCGGCGAACCGCCGGCGCCCGTCGCCGGTTCGAGGGTCGTGCGCGCCGCGGGGGACGACCGCGGGCGCTACGCGGCCCTGGGCGCCCTCGCGCGCGCCTGCGGTTCGCGAGCCACGCCGCGGGGCCCGACCCGGTACGCCCGGCTGCCCCCGCCCGTGGGGCTGCGAGTCGCGGAGGTCGTGGGCGGTGCCGTCGTCGTCGAGGGTTTCGAACCGGCGCCCCACGGCGGCTTCAGCAGCGCCGAGGCCTCGGGCCTCTTCGAGGTCGGAGACGTCGTCACGGGCGCGGCGCCCGCGACGGCGCATCCCCACTACGCGGCCGAGGCGGCGGCGGCGGGACCCGCGACCGTTGCATCAGTGCAGCGGGCGATGGCCTCGTCTCAGGGGGCGGCGCTCTGGTGGACGCGCGACCACGACGGCCCAGAACGGGCGACGCTGCCGCCCGCGCGCCCCGACGCGGCGACTTTGAAATATGTAGGGTCGTTGGACGCCTTGGCGACGACACCAGGAGACGCCATCGGCCTGTCGCGAAACGGTGCCACGGTCATCAAGCGCGTTTCGGTGCTGGCGGTGAGACCTGGGGTCTACGCCGCGCCGTTCGAGCAGAGCTTCGGGGTGACGCGGGACGGCTTTCCCGTGGACGAGGAGCACGCGCCCAAGTTCGGGGTGTTCGACAAAAGCTGGGCCTGGGTCGGCGGCGCTGGGCGCGGGCCCGTCGGCTTCCTGCTGCACGAGGCCGCGGGTTTCGGGCCGCGCGGAACTCGACTCGCCGCCGGCCGAGAGTCTGTTTCGCCTCGAGAGTGTGTCTCGCTCCATGAGCTGGTGCGGCGAAGCATCGATTCGAGCGCCGCGCAGGCCTCGGCAACTTCGCGCATTTCTTTGCGGAGCTCGTTCATCGCGCAGAGGCCTTCCTGGAGCTAAAGCGGCAGGAGCCGCGGCTTCGGCTCGCGGTCTTCGCCGATTTCGGCCTAGCACCGTACCAGCGAGAGGCGCTGGCGGCCCTGGGGGTGCTGGACGACGAACTCGTGTCCATCGAGCACCCCATGCTTTTCGATGCCCTATACGTCCCCGGGCCCTGCTGTCCCGCGTACGGGGACGCGGCCTGCTCGCGCGCGACATGGGACCGGCTCCGGGCGGGCTTGGAGGTCGCTGACGCGCCGAAGAATCGGACGCGCCGCATCTACGTGCACCGTGTGGTAGGGCACCGCACGTTGCTGAACGAGGATGCGCTGACGGCAGTGTTTGAGCGGCGCGGCTTCGAGGTCGTTGACGTCGCGCCTCTCAGCCTCGCGGCCCGCGTCGAGCTCTTTCGCGGCGCGGCCGCGGTCGCCACGCCCATTGGCGCGGCGGCCTTCAACGCGCTCTTCCTTGCGCCGGGTACGCGCTTCTACCTCGTGGACGACCACCGACTGCCCGTTCGGCACTACTCGCCCTGGTGGCGGGCGTTCCTCCCCGGTTGGAGCGTGGACGTCCGCGTCCTCGCGTGCGCCGGCTCGCGCGCGTGGCCGGCCGGAGCGCCGCACGCCCGCTCGGGCTGGCCCACGCGCGTCGGCGTGGAGTACCCGCCCATCCACCTGCCCTGGATGCTTCCGCCGGACGTCGAGGCCTGCATCGGCGGCCTATTCGCCCCGGAGGACCCTGTGAGCTAAGCCGCTCGCGGCATTGGGCGTGCTGGACGGTGACCTGATATCCATCGGGCACCCCGCGTACTTCGGCGCCCCATCGACGACGCCGCCGCCCCGGAGTGCGCCGAAGCGCCCCAGGAGCGCGGTCGCGACGTGCTCGCGCCCTAACATAAAATTGCATTTTAGCTCAGGCTAGTGGGAGATACGAAAGGCGGCCAAGTGGACGGAAATTGCATTTACGGCAGTACAATATGTTTCCGGTAACGGGTTAGTGAGTTTAGACCACCTATCATCATCCAGCTAAATAAAACTGCTGGTTGTGGTGGTCCTCTCCCAGCTCGCCGCTTCCCCGGGGTCCGGGGTGGCGAGGCCAAGGCCGGAGACGCGGGCACGAGGATGGGCCGGCGCCTCAGGCGCCTGTGCGCACATCAGCGCCGCTGAATGCCATGACGGAGCGGTAGAAGCGTTCCTCGTCCTCAGCAGCCGTGAGGGAATTCGCGGGGTTCTGCTTGGACCGGACGTAGCGAAAGTGGAAGCAGCCCGAGTCGATGGCGTCGTAGACGAATCCGATGTGCAGGTATGTGTAGGTAGCAGGTTAGCTTCACAGGTAGTAGCGCTGTGGGAGCATGACCCAGATGAGGTGAACCATACGGCAGCTGAGGTGACGTGAGGATAACAGAGACGCCGGTGTACCGCTACTGCGTAACCTCGATAGTTCACCCTCACACGGCAGGGCAGCCCCACTAGGCTGCCTCCCCGTGTCGGAGTTTACTATCTCGTTATCCAGGTCTGGAGGCTTTTCTTCTGATGGGAGCGATCGATGCGCCACAGCGCTGGGCGCATGCATGCACTTCGAGTCAAGCCCCATAGATACCTTCTCCAAACCCTTGTATACTTGAGCTGGCTTTTCATGCGCCGGCAGACAGGGGTGGGACCTGTCCAATGAAGAAGCCCATGCTTCTGCCTCGTCGTCCGGCGCCTTCTTCTCGAAGAAGCTGTCCGCGTTCATCCTGTTGGTAAAGACTCTTTTGGCCTCTGATCTCAGGGCAGCTGAGTCTTTTGGGCCTATGTCTTTTAGCTGGATGTTAGGGTAGACGTACGTGCCGCCTCCTAACACACACAGGCAGTAGAGCCTGTTCCACTCGGCCTGCATGCTGCCTACACGTTGTCAATGTCAGAACACAACAAAAAAGAAGAAAAATCATTACCAAAATCTACATCATCACTGGTTTTCCATGACTTCCTGAATTTTTCTTCTAGCTGCTTGTACAGCTCTTTTTCTTCTTTTGTTTTAATTGGTGTCGGGAACCCACGACACGACGTCATCCTGTCCATGTACGTCTCCTTTGTGAATTCTTTGTCTTCCTTTGTGGCATAATCCAGCATGAATTGCACCTACAATACAGAAAGCTGAATTTCATGTGAAGAAGGCGCAGTACGCAGCTGCGGGCAGCTTCGTTGCCTCGATGATCGTGGCCTGCTCCCCAAAAGTCGGTGCTCTTATCATTGGGGTTTTTATCATCATGACTCGCTAGCGCCAGGGAGGGAAATGGATCCATGTTAAACAGGGAGTTACTCATCTTTTTGATGTTCATGATCATCCCCACGTCGCATGTGTTGAGGGCATCACCCCCTGTCCTTTTCCTGCCCTTTTCTATGTTCCACATGGCTACGAAATCAATTAGGGCGTTATCTATCGTTTCCGCACTGCACATCGGCCCTGTGCAAATAGCCTCCATCGCCCGCCAGAGCGCCTCGAGCTGGCTCGACCCTCTCTTCGTGACAAACTTGGGGTTCTCGCCATCATCACTTACTAGAAAGTACATGTTTTCGCATGTCGGGTCGCCCAAGAGGCCTTCCCGACAGAGGCTCTTGGTACTCTCGTGAATGGTTTCAAAATTTGCCAAATACAAGGCTCTATCTGGAGCCGTCCGATCCTTAGCATCTCTATATTTGCGTACCACCTTATCTACCCTATCCCAAAGTTCAGCTGAGTCGGGCATCCATCGCCTGCACCTGCGTTTCCACCTACAAGCACACATCAAACGGCCGCACGTAGGGTGCGCCGACGTACCAGGCCGCAGGCTTGGCCGCGAGCTGCTCTCTAGTGAACTCACCCTCCTCCACAAGCCTCTTCTCCCAGTACTCCTTGTCCCTGTCGTCGATGGGCAGCATGGCGAGGCTGAGCTCGCTCAAGAACTTCCACTTCAAAGCGTGCTTGCCCGAGCATACTCCGCTGTAGTCATACATGACCTACAAACATGCATCAAACATATCAAATTTATCGACTCACATGAAATGGGTCTTTCAAGACCCGCAGCGCATCGTGGAATATCTCCCTCAGGAAGCGCTCGTCCTTGTCCGGCTGGTCGGTGTATACGCCTTTAAGGAGCCATTGGTTGGCTTGCCACCTCTTCGCCAACTTCGTAAACATGGGTTCCATCTCCTTGAGGCTCTTTGTCCTGGTGAACAAAGCAGCAACGACCTGTGGTGAATTGTTATAGAGGCAATACGAAACAATCGCACCTCTTGATGCTCGTTCATAACCCCAAAGAGGCTCGAGAACAACCTGGCTTTCTTCTCCCCGTGGACAAATTTCGAGGACCAGAAGGTGTGGTCTATTTTGAAATATTCACCCGAGAAGCTTGCTAAATATAGCAGGCTTATCATTCTTCTTCTCTCGCAGTCTAAGGACCAAATCCGCGTATACCGATGGCTCCCTGGCGCACGCCCGCCATAACCGTCTGTGAACTTTCCAAATGGAAGGGCCTTGAACTTGGTTTTAAGTCTTACTGCCTTTTGACAGGCGCTGTAGTACGCTGCCATCCTGTCGTAATAATGTCCGAACCTTATCGACGTAACCAACTTGCACATCATTTCCATTGCAATACCGTTCGGCCTACCGACCTGCATGGCCCTAACCAAATCAAATGAAGTCACTGTCCTTTCTGTCACCATAAACCCTAAAATTTCCATCACGCCACCCTCCAGCTGGCTGACTATGGCTGGGTTTAGTGAAGTAAACCAACGGTTCGTCTTCCCTGGCTTCGCATGCTTGCAGCCCTTGCAAATGAGCCGGTTTTTTATTATCACACTCCTTTCATACCCGATGGAAAGCACATGGGTTATCCCTGGCGCCCAACCACCGAGGCCTAGTTTGTTTCCACATTTAGGGCATCTAAAACTGCCTCCTTTAATGCATCCTGGGAAAAACAAATTAGGGTTGAAGATTATCAGATACTCAGGCGCATGGTACAGGTTGATGTTGGGGGGGGATTGGGATAGCGGGGAAGGCAATGCAAATCTGCAATTGCCCGCCCACCCCCTTGGAATAGCTGCGCCCTTGATCAAACTGCCTCGATACATACATCTTTTTTCTTGTTTGTCTCCTCTGATCATCTTCAGTGTCCTCTTGGCCAAGGCATGGACCTCCTTGTTCCGGCAGCTGACTGTGTCTTCCATGTCTTCCATGTCTTCCATGTCCTCTGAAATCGAGGGCTTCCACCCTGATACTTCCCTCAACTCACCTCTGAAATCTTCTTCTTCTTCTTCTTCTTCTTCTTTTTCTTCGCCTTGCTTCTTCTTGACAATCTTCGCTGGCTGCTGGAACCAACATACTTCAGCTTTGTTTGTCATTGATTTTATCGTTTCATCATTGACGATGAAGTTGCACGATCCATCGTCTGTTTTGATGAAGAATTCTCTGTTCTGGCTATTCCAGCCACCTACGTATTTCATGTTTCAAAAACAAAAACTGGGACAGGGGACTTACGGCTCCAGATCAACAAGCCAGGCTTGCCTTTGAAAATGATTCTTAGACTACCTGCCCTACATATATACTTTGCTACTTGATCGAGCTCCATCTCGAGGTCGACGGCGGGAGCCGCTCCCGTGAGGTCCTTCTTGTTGACCTCTCTGCTCACCCCATTGGTGAGCAAAATGACTGCTACCCTCATCCCCCTTCCCCTGTTGGCCCTTGTGATCACTCCGATCGAGCCCTAAAACATAAATAACTTTTCATGCTTAATAACATTTCAAGTATTACCTTGTGAGTGTAAAACTCTCCATCCTCTGGAGGGCCGGAGCCAGGGATTTTCCAGTGCTTACCCTCTACCTTCTTCTTGTCACTGCGATGCCCAAACGCAACCCACTGCGTTCTCTTTCTATCTTGTTCCAACTCAGTGCATTTTACCTTCATCTCACTTCTTCTCGCTTGCTTGTCCTCTGCCTCTCGATCTGTCCTCGCTTCTATCTCCTTCTCGATCCTGGCGCGCTTTTCGAGCTCTTCATCTGCCGCTTCTCGCTTCTCTCTCTCCCGCTTCCTTCTATCTGCTGTTGACCCCAATCCGATCGACGCCGGAGATGATGGCGTTGGACTAGGTCGAGATGGGGTTGGAGTTGGTCGAGAACGCTTAGAACGCGCAGCCCAACTTCCAATGGCGATTGAAAGAAGAAGCAAGGCACGCATGCTTAACAGTCACACGCTTGAGATAAGCACAAGCGTCGAGAGCCACCAATCAAAGGGGCTAATTGCGACTATTCTTTTACTTGAAGCCAATCCACAGTAACTTTTTGGCCCCCTGGAACAGCAAAAAGGCGTATGCGGTCCATATCGGACCAAACCGCTCCCACCGGAAGCGCAGCTACAGAGAGATCCCCCCTTCTTTTTTCAGTTTCTTTTTTAATTTTAATTTTTATTTGATGAACCAATGTATATCCTAATAGCGACGACCCACCTCGGTTCAATAATGGAGTTCTACGATTGTGTGATATGAAATTTAGTGATGTTGGCTTTGATGATGTCTTTCTCTCCTGGTCTTGTGGATATGATTATCCTCAAGAGCCTATCAGTGATGAAATTATTGATATCTTTGAGACTTGGCTGGACAAGTATGCACGTGCAGCTAATGAAACTGTGGATATGAAAGCCGATATTAAGACAATGATTGTGGAGACACTTTGTGATAAGAACTCTAAAGAACGTGCCTTCTTCCTTATGGGGGAAGGTGGCAATGGTAAGAGCG